TAAATAATTATCCACTCTTGCCCACGTGAATTCACATGACAACCGCTGTAAAGTTTATATTAAAGTCAAACAAACAAAAATTAATAGCACTACAATGTTTTGTCTCACAATTTTTCTACTCTAAGAATTAACGATACAGAATCTACATGTACGTGATGATTATAATTATCACAAGTCAGCAAACTCAAAGTTTACTGTTAAAAGGTTTTGTCTATGACTTTTCCTACAACTTCTCCACCTCCCCAGATCAAAAATCCTCCCAATGCACCAATGGCTATTCCTGGTGGTCCAGCCACTACACCACCAAGTAGAGCACCAGATGCAACATTCCCAGTTGCTCCTACAACCTTCCCTTCCTTCTCATATCCATGATACTCCAATCCTGCTTGGGCCACATCTGCTGCTAGTCCAATTCCAGTAGCTGTGGTTGCTGATTTTATTCCTTGCTTGAGACCTTGTATTACAACTTGTTTGGTTGCTCGAGATGCAAATTGCTTTCCTCCTTGGGTAACTGCACTTTTAGCTACAGCAGTAACCGCTGTTGTTCCTTTCCTTGCTATCTCTTTTGTGACACATTGTGCTATTAACCTGGCACCACCTTTAGCAGCACCTTGGGTGAGGATTTTTAAAAACTCTTTGTTCTCTTGAATAAATTCCAAAATTGACTCCTTAGCATTTTGCAAGATCTCTGCTGCTTTGTCAATTCCCTGTCTCACTGTGTCTCTGACAATCTCTCGCCAACCACCATATTTTTTTTCCAAATAATCATTAGCCTCCTTGCAGGCTGCTTCAGTTAATTTTTTCACAATTTTTTGTTCTGAAATTGAATTCCAGAGATCCACAACAAGCCCAATCAAAGCTATTGCAAAGTAATAGATTATAATGATTATAGTCACTTAGCTACCTTTAATTATTTTAGGATCTACATGTATATCATCTGGCATTACTTCAGAACCCATAATGCTAGTGGCTGGCATTTCTCGAGAATCCATAACGTCTGACATTACTTGAGAATCCATAACGTCTGACATTACGAGTCTTTATAGTAGACGTAGATCTAGAATGAATTGATAATGAAATCAAGTTGTTCCTGTTGCTCCGCTCAGCAGTTTTATACAGTTGCTTAGGGAATTTCCCTGGGAAACTCCCATATTTGTTTTGTGGATATTCCCCATAATTAAATTAAGTGATATTATTAAAAAAACTATTACACAATACAACACTACAATGTCGATCAAGAGCTATTGACTCTCATCTCATTGTGTCATCTTAATTTTTGTGTTTCTCCTTTGAGATACTGTTTACAAGGCTATAAGGTCAATCATTCCTATCACCTTTTTATTGCCTTTAATAATGTAAAAATAATTATTTTTTCTGGTGCATATACATGTACTTAACTACTTATGTTGTGTAGAAAGTTTGAACTAATTCTGATCAAAATTGGATTTTTTACAAATTTTTTAAGTTGCTCAAAAATTGGGCTAAAGACCCTGTTTCATCAAAAATAACTAGGAGAAAAATGCTCCATTTTAATTTTTTTTTTCTGATACATAATTATCCATGCTTTTATGTTGTTTATGAATTTTGAGCTGATTTCAATCAAAATTGGATTTATAAAGTGGCTTGGTCCAAGTAGTGATTATAGGTGTAATTGAGATCCTTTCTTTTGTAGAAGCAGCACATTCAAGTGATTTATAAACCAATTTCAGCTCTGAATGACAAGTGAGATACTCCCACTTAACATTTAATAGCATTTTATATTTTGTTTTATATAATTGTATCTCAGTTCTTGTCAGTTGTTGCTCCAGCCAGAGGATGGGTGTGGTCCAAGCTATCAAATAAAACTGACTTATTCCATCAAAGAGCAAGAAAGTTCTCACAAGTACATTTTTGAGCCAATTCTAATAAATTACATGTATAAGCATTGTAAAGATGTAAGGATTAATTTTAGACAAAGTATTTAATTTCAATTATTTTTAAAGGTTGGAGTGTAGCAGACAAAACTTGCAATGGACTGATGTCAAAATTGGACAATCAAGGTAAATTTAAATTAATTTTTTACAATTTATTTTGATTTTCTGTTGCAGCTCAAAGGAAGTCTTCATTAGAAATGTTGGGACGTCACACGTCAAATTGCTTGTATCTCTCCTTCCTCCCTCCTCCTCTCCCTCTCCCCTCTCTTTCCCTGCTAACATATTCAAAGTAACCTACTTCTTTTCTTGTTATACAATGTATGCTGTATTGTCATTAGTTTACAACTTCACTGTTGCCTTCTCCTGCTGGTGAAATATTGCTAGAGCCATGCCAGCAGTTTGGAATTACTGTTAGCTTCACTCCAGCTCAGCCTAATGTATATACATCATCACTTATCATTAAAGAAGCAACTAAAACTTATAAAGTAAATTGTAATTAGAATTATTGCTTATTATTATTATTGTTGTTAGATATCTCTATGTGGATTTACATGCAAAGATGAAGTCAGTATGGAAGGGAATCAAAAGCCTCTAGAATCACCTCATGCAATAGAAGCTGAGTCTTTGACAGCCGTCAGTTCAGTTCTAGATAGACAATATCTTCACTTTACTGATACACCAATCAAGCAATATTCTGGTGAGACAAACCTTCAATGAATCATGTTACTGGATTCTTGTTTCTAAAATAAATAGAGTCTCAACTAATTATTAGCAACCCATTCTCTGTTCCCATTAAGTGGAAGATCATTGATCTTGCTCCTCCTTTTGTTAAAGAAGTAAAGAAGTCTATTAGAAATTATTATTATTATTGCCATTTTAAAAAAATTTATTATTAGAGTCCGAAGGAGCCTGATGCCATATATAGAGCAAATTATTCAGTTTTTTGGATACACCAGTACAATGGACACCTCCAGCCTCAACAGGAGACTCAAGTGCTCGTTACTTTTCAACCTCAAGACATTGGGCAATACTCTCAAGTGAAAGACATTGAATTAGTATGCTCATTGATCATTCATTAGTACTTGTATTTATTATTATTATTACTTATTGTTAGGTTGTAGGAAAAGAAGTGAAAAGGTTCAAGATATCGATGGGAGGAAAGGTAAGCCTAGCTGCATCTCAATTTGTCTGTTATTATTATTATTTATTTATTTTTTATTATTTTTAGGGTATTGACTATCATCAGTTTCAACAAAGAGCTCTCGATGTTAAAGAAAACCTTCCTCCTCTCCTACCTACTCCTCATCCTGTACCAGGAGCTACTCCTCCTCGTGTAAAGAGACATACTGGAAAGAATAAAGAACTCTTACTGTCTCATAAGCAAAGGAAGGTTGTGTACTTGAGTGATGAGTGTGTCACTTTCCCTTCTGTTGGTCTGGGGGAGGAGTCAGTTATTAAAATTAGAGTTTTTAATAAAGACACTGTCACGCATAAGGTAAAGTGTATTTATTTGTTTATTTATTTATGAATAATATTTATTTAAATTTTAGTTTGAAGTGATTGATCCTCATCCTCCATTTACTGTCCTACATCGTCACTTTGAGTTAACGTAAGTCATTAAATTTATTAATATACTAGTAGTAATAAAAGCAAGATCCACCACAAGGCAACTCTTAGCATAAAATTTTGTTACTTTACTTCAAGTGATAAGATTCAATTCACTTGGTTATCAGTTGATAGTTGGTTTTAAGTAGAAAAGTTGCCTTGTGGTCCTTTTGTGGATACCCACTTCAAAGATGAAATGATCAATGTTCCTTTTCTTTCCTCTCTCTCTTCTTCTCAATCTTAGTCCAAGGCACTGTGCTCGATTACCCATCTATTATGCTCCAACTGTTGCTGGTAGCCATCAGAGTGTACTTGCCATTAGAACCCTCAGTGGTCACCAAATGTTTACTCTTTTAAAAGGAACTGGAGCAGTGCGTGATCACTAACTTTGTTGTTATGTACCACTCTCATTTTAATCTCATTATTTGCGTTAGGATAGCAATTAAAGAATAATTCGTCCTATCATTGTGCAAACGTGCAGCCATACATGTCAATAAAAAGAGATAAATTTGACAAAATTATTAGCAATGAAAAATACTTTTAAGCCAAAAATGAAAGTCTAAATCCTATATAAACAAAAATCATGGAAAATTAGAATTAAATCACTCTCTCTCTCTCTCTATAGCACATAGTCCAATATAGTTTGATTTGCATCTCATGGTTTCACAAACTCGATAGATTTGATTTGCTTATCGATCGAGAGCCGTCCAAAGTCATGCTTTCCTACTCTGAGGTCTGTAGTACCTTTCACCTGGACCTTAGGACCAGTGCAGTTGGTGTTAATGTAAAGGTTCCACACTCCTCCTGTTATTATGCAAGAGCAGGCCCCTGTGACACCTTGAGGGAATTCACTAGTCAAGTCATTGACCCTAGATTGGAAGAGGTTCCCGTAACCACGGAATTGAGAGTGCTCAAATAAGATGATCCCTGGATTCATTTTATTGAATCCTTGAATGGAGAGGATCCTGGAGTCAAGGACCTCTCCCTCTCCTCCTACTTCCACAATGACTGGTCGATCCATCTCGGAACGGTCTTCAGGATGGAGACGATCCCAGTTGTCAAACTTGTAGATGATCCACATTGATGGTGGCTGGCCTGGCTGGCTAGGGAGGACACGAGCTCTATTGTAGTCACCTGGGATCATGGCTTGCGGAGAATTGTAGAGTTTTGTACCAGAAGTGCCGCCTAGCTCTATTGATCCGTTGATCATAGACATTGCTGTAGTTTCTCGTTAGTAACTGGAGGAGGTGAAGTAGGAATGAGATACCTTGAATGATTCTCTGTGCACTTTCCTCTCCTTTTCATAGGATGAAATTGGACTGTTTTTTATTCATCTTCAATGCGATTGGACATTATTTTGTAGATTTACTTTTCTGCATGCTCTGACCAATGAGATTAGCGAGACACATCTGTAGAAGGACAGTTTTTAGTTCGTATCAGTTATTGTTTGGTGACATTATACTGTTGCAAGTCACGTCGTTAAGATACAATAAACTGCATGGTCCATCTGTTCATTCTTTTGTTCTTTGTTGGTGACATTACACTGTTGCAGGTCAGAGCATTGAGATACAATAAACTGGTCCATCTGTTCATTCTTTTGTTCTTTGTTGGTGACATTGCACTGTTGCAAGTCAGAGCATTGAGATACAATAAACTGGTCCATCTGTTCATTCTTTTGTTCTCTCTAGCTGTAAGTAAATCGGCCAATCAAATTGCTAGAATTGTATCAGATGATGTGATAATTTGGTGTATAAAAACACCTGTTTCATTACTGTCTCTCTCAACTTAAATTTTTCAGCTAACAATCAAGAGACATCAATAGGAAAGTGAAAAATGACAGCAATTGCTGGACCACTTCATCTCATTAGCCGTTCCGGTACTCGAGACTTATACAACACTACAGATAGCATCAGTAGTGGAGATTGCTACACTCAAGCCAGTGTAATTGCAAGTGATCCGAAATCACTGTGGGTTGTGTACACTGTCCCTAACTGGGATCATGGCAATTCTCCTGATAGCAACAGTGCAACAATTGTAGAGCCTGATGGTACTACTGTTAGCACTATGTCTCCCATCCAGTCAGCTCAAGGCTTCAATATGGAGAACCCTGGGGCTATACTTTTTGAGCACAGCAAATTTCGTGGCTATGGAAATCAGCATCGTTCTCATAATGAGGATCTAACAAGCTCTTTTTCACAGGGAACCATAGCCGGTGTCTCCTCTGCTATTATCACTGGAGGGGTTTGGAATCTGTTCACGGGTATTAATTTCACTGGAAAGAGACTGGTTTTTGATGGGAAGCAAGATCTTGGTCCTGGTCGGTATGATTTTGGTTGCCTTCCTGCAAATGACCAAGCCAAATCAATCAAATACGTGAGGCCTGCTTAAAATAACCTGGTTGTTTTTTGACTATTGCTGTTATTAAGACTCTTTTTTGGTGCTACTTTTACTGTTTGAATTCAGTGTTGCTACCTTTGCTACTTCTGTGTGTGTTTTGCTAATTTTTTGATAATTATTATTTTAAAAAGAGTATAACTAGCTAATAATAACACTTTTGACAAGGAGTAGATCTATATCTTATAGCTACTTAGACTATCTATTTTTAGACTATCAACCATTAGGTAATCATTCTGTGGTTTGTGCTAGCCATGCAAAGGTACATTCCCATGGTAATTCCCATCTGTTATCTATACCCTCTACTACTATAAAAGCTACTCATAGTCACTCAGTAGATTAGAGCATAGTAAACCAGCTCGTGTAAGATAATGGCCTCTAAATCCTGTGTATTGCATATCCGATATGATCACTCCAATGAAGAAGGAAAGAAAGTTGAAGAAGTCAGAGTCAAACAGGACTACAATGACTCCGGTAGATGCGACATGGACAGAAGAACCTTTCTGGAGGAAGGTGCTAGAGCTATAGATAGGAATGGTGAACCTTTTCACTTCAAGAGTCACGGTCTCCTTGGCCATCACATAAGAGGGATCTTCTTAGTCAAAGTCCATGATAGTCAACTGGGTGATCAGTGCATTGGTATTGGGTATTCTCTTGGATGGAGGAACAGTGAATACACCATTGCTCTTGGTTTCTATGACCAAGATGCAATATTGAATTCTGATGACGTTGATAGCTTGTTTGAATCAGCAAGTAGGGAAGCTATGGGCACTGTTAGAGAAGGAAGGGATATAACTATCTCAAACAGTGATTACACTGTCATTGCTACCCTTGACTATCATGCTAATGGTCACAGCAATGTTGCCACTGTTGTCATTAAAAGGACATGATGACTAAGCTCACAATCAAGAAGAAACTGTAACTTTTTATTGTGTTCTTCATAGGTTGTGGCTTTATTATTTTTTTGTTTCTTACATAGATGTAATTTTAAAAACAAATAAATATCGTTGTATTAAAATAAATAGCTCTTATTTTAAATATTTAAAAAATTGATTATGATAATAATTACTATGAATGGCTACAGTTTTCGTTTATGATATTTCAATCGATCGAAAGATCTTCCAGGCAATAATTCAACCGATTTCTCTGGTGATAAGGACTCGGAGCTTCTAATAGCTCGTGAAAGCTCACTGGCCACCATCACCTCTCTTTCTCTTGCTTGATGGAGATCTGTCTGCAATCTTTTTATTCGTCTCTCGTAGTCCCTGGAAAGAGAGAAAGAGTGAAAACAAGAAGTGGAATTTTATTATACCTTTGCTCTGATTTTATTGCTGCACATTCATCTTGTATGTCTATAAAGACAATGGAATTAGCTAACAGTAGCTGTTGTGACAATTGCTGCTACTAACTGTTCAATTGTGCTTTTAGACTCATTGTTTCTCCTTTTAAGGAATTGATGTACTTCTTGCTCTTTGAACTAGCTATAACATCTTGAACGAGACTATAGAACACAACAGAGAGTAATAAAACACATTCTCTCGCATGCTACACTTTATGTTTTCACATAACAATAGACAGGGCTTCCCACAATGCATGCTAAGTGTATGATTCATTAACTGACAACATGTACATCTTTAAGAGCAAGTTTAAAAATTCATTAAAAATCTAATTGTGCCCAGAATCAGCTCAAACTTTCTACACAACATAAGAACACGTATATGCATCAAATAAAATTATAAAAATGAAGAATTCTCTCCTAGTCATTTTTGGCAAAATTGGGCCCCGAGATCATGTACTATATATAGTACAGGGACGGTTTGGCCTGATTTTTGAGTAAATTTTGTTTATCTGAATCAGCTCTATACAGCACACAAGCATGTATATGTATTACAATAAAAAAGAAAATTCTGTCCTACTGATTTTAAAAAAATACATGTACCCTGTATAATTTTTAGCTATTTTGTTGACCAGAATGGCAGAACCTGCATTAGTACTGTGCCAAAATTCTGTGGGAAACCTTGAGACTAGATATTTATACCAATGTACGTAGGGAGCCATAGAGTGTATGCATCTTTTACCTTTCAAACTCTTTTATTGTCTTTTTGTGTTCTTTGAATGGTATTGCTGGTACAGCACCAGCTGGAACCAGAAGAGGCTCATTTTGTTGAACTCTCTCTTTCCTTTGTTGGAGGAGTTTTTGCAACTGCTCGTGGCTCTCGTGCATCATTTCTAAATCTTTTTTAATTGCATCTCTTTCTATAGTCAGTCTCCTTGATTCTTCTAGCAATGACGACACTAAAGAAGTAGAGAGAGTTAAAATGGTGCAAATGTGTATGTATAGACATACCTCTTAATTTGTGGGACTCTTTATTTCTCTTTTTCTTTTCTTTGAGTACTGCAACAGAATCAGCCAGCTCATCCCTTTCAGCTTTCAAACTGGCACACTTTTCTTCTAAGTCTTTTCTGTATAATAGTAATAATGATTTTATGGATATTCTTTACTCACTTTTCATTCATTATTCCATTAAATTGTTTCTCAGTAAACTAAGTGTATGATACTAAAAATAGTGTGCAATTGTTTCTTATCATTTTACTTTGGCTGATACTTGTTTCTCGTATTTGAGACTATCGCGTTCTTTTTTCAACCTCATAACTTCATTCTAAAATGACAGTAATTATTATTTTTTATTATTATTATAACCACATCACTCTATTCCTCACTTGATGAGAGTGTAATTGCCTGTCTTTCCATGCTATCGTTTCATTAAGTGACTTTAGAGCACCAGTCAATCTGGTTGGTAGCTGAAGTAGAATCTGCTCAACTGATGCTTCATCAAGTGACAATTCCTGTGAAAGATAAAAAACATCGTCAACGCCTTGCTTTGCTAACATGCCACAAGTCAGTCGGTCATTATTAATGTAGGTATTCCTTTCTTACTGATTCTGATCCTAGTAGAGAGTATGTTGATAGATCAGCAGTTATTAGAGCAAGTGATGTCCTCAGTGAGTCAGCAGTCTCATTCTGAATATCTAAACATGATAAGAAAAATACATGTCCAATTGTCCATGCATGTATGCATAATAATCTTACATTGTGATCGATTTTCTGTTTGTGTAGATACAGTATAGCTGCTTGGCTCTCTGGATACTTTTGTTTTCCTGGTAGATACAAACCCGGTATCAGTTTGTTCATCAGAAGGACGATTGGCAGTATGAATCTCAAACCCAGTATCAGTTTGTTCATTAGAAGGATGATTGGCAGTATGAATCTCATGATCACTGCTTATTCCTACATGGGCACTGATGGCTGGTCTAATGGGAGTGCTAGTAAGAGGTGGGGTGCCTATTGAAGGAATTGATAAGCTCCTTTGCTGCTTTAGGAAGTGTTTTGGTGGCGATGGAGAAGGCGTGAGGACTGTTGCTGTGAAGTGCTCTTCTGAACCATCCGGTCCTTTCCTAGTGAGGAAGTAAGTTTTATCGCCTGATTTCAGTTCTGTTGTTTTGTTTAAACTGTATACTGGTAGGGTAGGGAATGGCTGGGGCTCTGGCTCTCCTTCATGCTCAACCTCAACTTCTATTGGTATTCCTTCCCTGCTCTCTCCTCTTTCTTCTAGTCTTCCTCCTCTACTTCCTTCTGATAGCAGTACACTCGTTGCTGGTGAATGAATGCTCTGTACTAGTTGAGAGTGAAGAGATGACGAGGCTATGTTGATTCCAAAATCTGATACTTCGGGTCTATTTGCTGCTCTCGTTTGACTGTCTCTTGAGGAACGGCTGCTAAAAGAAACTTCTTTTCTGCTTCGTAAACTGCTAGTATTGTCCCTCTGCAAGGCTGATTGTATATTGTCACTCTCTGATCTCATTGGAAGAGTCCCTTGCTCTATGCCAGTTCTTGTATGATGAAAAGGTTGTCTGTGCTCTTCATCCTCTGATGCTGTAACTGTAGTATATTCTTCCTCCTCGCTGGTATGTTCATCTGGCAGTTGGATTATTTCATTAGAGTCCTGTGTTATTACTTCTACAATAGATCCAGAATTCTTATATCTTTTCTGGTTGCTGTCATTGCCATGCTGTGGATATGAAGGAGGTTTATTTGTTCTGTTGAATCCTTGCTGCGTTTGACTGTCTCCTGAATGACTGCTAAATGATACATCTTTCTTGATCTCTCTTGGTTTTGAAAGGGCAGTGGTTTTGCTTCTCTGCGGTATCGCTGGTGGCATACTGTTCCTTATCTTAGAAACCTTGGCATATATTGGGGATGCTGTTTGCTCTATGTCTGCACTATGAGTTCTTGCTTGAGAAAGAGGTTGCTTGTGTCCTTCATCTTCTGATTCGGACACTGTAGCACTTTCATCTGCTGTTGTACCCCCCTCCTCGTCCTCACTGCTCTGCTGGACTCTTTGTAATGAGATTCTTGCCGTTGACTCTTGGTTACTCCTTGTTACATTAGACTACACATGCAATGACAATGATTCCAGCATTTCTATAAACTGTATTGTATCATACTTCAGTATCTTGTGATGGCTGTAAAAGTGAAGGGATAGCCCTAATCGGAGAAAACTCTGCCTGTACACCTATTATATAAAGTGTAAAATTATTTCTATTATAGATCTAGGCTGACCTATATCAGAACTGGCTTTTGTTCTTTGGCTTTCTACAGAGTAGGATAGAACAATAGTTATAGTTGAGTAATGTAAGCCTACCTGAAGTTGAAACCGTTTCATGGGAAGCAGATGAAGTTGAGCCATTTTTCTTGCCTTTCTTTTTCTTTTTCCCCTGTAAAATGTCATTAAAAGTTACTCAAGTACTTTGTGGTCCTCTCACTTTCTTCATCCATTTCAGCATCTTGTCCTAAAGAGTCTAGCCTCTTTAGTCTCGGTTTTGTCCTTCTCTTTCTCAGATCTCTTCACAGTGAACTGTTTGTTATCATTCCAGCTTCACCATAAAACATACAAGGCTATGCTAGTATGCAACCCTGTTGCCTTGGAGACGGTGCGTGGGTGGTACTACCCTAACTGCGTGGGTGTAGCTCATCTCTGCAGCAAAAGATGGCAACTGCAGGCGTAGCTGCAGGGGAAGCAAGAAAGTGCAACCAAGTCCGGCAAGAACAGATATGGCAAGCTGAGAATGCATTTACCATTATCTTTTACTTTGGTTTTCTCAAGGAAAGACTATGTTCATCATGAGGAAAAGGCTACTAAAGCTTGGAAGAGCACATGGGGGTTCCTGTGTGATGACTACAAGAAAGTAAGTCCAAAAATAAAAGTAATGGTAAGTGAATCATCATAATCCAAGATGAGAGAAGAAATATTTAAAGTTCGTCAAAGGAGGGAAGAAAAAGAAGGAGATGATGAAGAGGTTGAACAAGATGATGAAGAGCCTGTAGAAGAAGAGGAGGAGGAGGTAGAAGAAGAGATGGATGATCAAGAGAGAGTGGATTCTGATGATGATGGTGAATTATTAAAACTGCCACCATTATCACCAGCTGTCCTTCAAACACAAAAAGTATCAAAGGTCCCATTTCCACTCCCTCTCACGACATCAAGAGAGATAGGTTGGAGGTCATCAAGACCAGAATGTAACCTGGAAAGGTTTGGAAAATGGGCTAGACCAAAGAAATCAATCCTAAAGCATTTCAATTGGACTATATATGCATGTCCTTAATAGCAATATAATTCCAAGTGTTTTATGATAAGTCAAGATATATTTATACATATGCATCTTAACTATACATGTATACTACTCCATAAAATAATTATGTAAATATATATTTTACAGATTGATTGAATTGATTTTAGCTTCATACTCTTTCAAAACGTCAGTCATTTGTTTATAAAAACCACAGCTCCTGTTAAAATTGAAAAAAATTAACTAGTTGTGTCATGTGTGCCACAGTTCCAACTAACTTGGTGTGTATGATTATTTTGAGCAGGACTCTCTGAAGCGATTTTCCCTATACATACACAAGCAGTCAATGATGAATCAAGTATTAGTAACTAACATCATCTTCAAGTGACTGATGATCAATTGGTGCTTCTAAATTTGATGCCAAATCATCAACACTATTTAGAGAGAGAGAGAGAGAGAGAGGGATTGATAGCATTGCTTTCAATTTAGATCTCTTACAGTGGACTTAGCAGCTCCACCAAGTCGATAAGAATGTCTAAATGTTCAATATAACAACACTCTAGTGTGTCATTTTGTTGTAATATTCCATGGCAGATTTTATCAGTCAAAACTGATGATAACTAAGAATTGAGGGAGATAGAAAATAAAAGATAAGAGAGCTTACTTTAATTAGTTCGATAGAAGGTGTGACTATTGCTTTGTCAGCCTCACTCCATTGGTCAGGATTCTCTTCATCATCATCATTAATAGAAAGTTCTTCCAATCCCATTCCTATGTCATCAGTAGTTATACCACTACTGCCATTTGCTTCTACTAACTATAAGTGTAAAAGAAGCTTCTTTAGAATTTGTATAACAATATTACGGACTTCCTCAATTTCATTGTCAGCATCTCTTAGTAACTGCAACTGTGCAAAGCAGTGTCTTAAAACCGATGACTTATTGTCAGTAGGAAGTTTTAATATTCTGTCACAGTGCTCCCATACTGAGCCTGTCCCTTGCAAACGTTTCTGGCAATCACTACAAAGAAAAGGATGTCATTTATCAAGGATGTACTGTACATACGATTTGCAACCATCTCTCATCAATATTTCAATGAAACTCGACACTCCTTCAAGAATATCAACTACAAGCCTCTGGACATCATTATAATGACACTTACCTAAAGAGAAGAGAGAGAATCAACAAAAATCAATTTTGTACTCACCCCACTCAACCTTGCATTGACAACAAGTTGATGTAAGGCAGAGTGTTGCATTCTCAACCATCAAACAAATAATGCCAGTTTCATTTAGGCTAGGAGGAGTCTGGGGAGATGAAAAGAGCATTGACAGTTTCGTACAGGCATCAGAAAGGCTGGAAACATTAGATCTGAGATTAGAATGAAATTCACCAAGTGAGAGGGCTGCATGTGCAAATCCTTTTGAATTATCTGCAAAGTATGATTCAAAATTGTAATTGGAAACAGTTCAAACTTTGAGGGTAAAAACTGTCTAACTTTCTGCACATATATTAAGCGACAAAATAATTATAACTCATTAAAAAAGATCTGAACAATACTACAATGAACAAGAGTTACAAGGCATTGTTCATTTACTTTTTATTTGCTTAATGACAAGTGACACGTTCTCTGAGACTGTTTCTAGCCGCTCCCTCACTTCACTAGACAGCAACACGGCAGAATGATGCATCTCTTTCTCTCGAGCTTTCACTACACGTTTCGCCATGATGGTGCAATATTCTTAACCCTATGACAACTCAATTTGTAGCAGCAAAAAAAGCAAGGAACATGGAGTATGCTAATAAAGTTATCATGGCTCCAATGGTGAGGATAGGGACTCTTCCCTCTCGTCTTTTAGCTCTCAAGTATGGGGCAGATATTGTCTACTCTGAAGTAAGTTGGAAAGAGACTAAGTTGGAAATAAGTCGAATAAGATGGAATTATGTATTTTATTTTTTACTATAAATTTAGGAAACAATTGATCATAGTATATTGAAGTGTAGAAGATTCCACAACAGTAAATTATTGTTATAATTATTTTTAAAAAATTTATAATAGCAATACAGGACTGATTGGCACCGTTGATTTTATTGAGGAAGGTGGCAGAAGTATTTTTAGGACATGTCCACTTGAGAGGAGAAAAATAATCTTTCAAATGGCAAGTTTTTATTTTAGAAAATTATAGAATTATTTTGAGTGGTTTTTTTATAGGGGACGTCAGATCCAGCCAGAGCACTAGAAGCTGCAAAATTAGTGTAAATATCATACATTAGCTTTATTATAAATAAGTACCTTTCTTTTAGTAAAGATGATGTTGCTGGGATTGATATTAACATGGGCTGTCCAAAGGGCTTTTCTTTAAAAGTATATACGCATTATTTATATGCATCTTTTAAAGTATTTCTTTGTAGGGTGGTATGGGTGCAGCACTTTTAGAAAAACCGGAAAAAGTCAGAGAGATATTGACAACTCTAGTGCAAGGCTTGGACATACCAGTCACATGTAAAATTAGAATATTACCTTCTGTTAGTATAACCTATTTTATTCTAATTGAGTTTAGTAGACTAACAGTGCTAATGACTATAATCATACAGCCTTCTAGTAATGACCAACTTAAAAAATTCGTAAAAAATCTAATATTGATTGGAATCAGCTCAAACTTTCTACACAACATAAGAACATGTATATGCATTAGAGAAAATTATAAAGATGGAGAATTCTGTCCTAGTCATTTTTGCCGAAATTTGGCTCGTGACCCTGTTATAGTACAGGGACTTTGGCCTGATTTTGGAGTAACTTTAAAATCCATAAAAAATCCAATTTTGATCGGAATCAGCTCAAACTTTCTACACAACATAAGAACATGTATATGCATTAGAAAAAATTATAAAGATGGAGAATTCTCTCCTAGTCATTTTTGTTGAAATTTGGCTCGTGACCCTGTACTATAGTACAGGGACTTTGGCCTGATTTTGGAGTAACTTTAAAAATCCATAAAAAAATCCAATTTTGATCGGAATCAGCTCAAAATTTCTACACAACATAAGAACATGTATATGCATTAGAAAAAATTATAAAAATGGAGAATTCTTTCCTAGTCATTTTTGCCGAAATTTGGCTCGCAACCCTGTACTATAGTACAGGGACTTTGGTCCTATTTTTGAGTAACTAAAAGTTCGTTAAAAAATCCAATTTTGATCGGAATCAGCTCAAACTTTCTACACAATTTAAAAACATGTATATGCATTAGAAAAATTTATAAAAATTGAAAATTTTCTCCTAGTCATTTTTGGCAGCATTTACTTAGAGTAGACCTTATTCATAATCATACTTAATATAATTAATTCTCTTTACAGGTGGAGAAAACTCTTGAGCTAGTCAAAGTAATAGAAAGCACTGGAGTGGCAGCTTTGGCAGTTCACGGAAGGTATGTCACTATTATAATTTCTAAGTATTTTTAGTAGGTATATTTGTAAAGGACTAAAGAAGAAAGATCAAGTTCTCCAGTACATATTGATGTACTAAGACAGATAGCTTCCATTGCAACAGTGCCAATAATTGCTAAGTACTGCATGTACATCAATAAGCTTGAGTTTTACTCTATTATCTTTTACCCCCTCTCTCTCTCTCTCTCTCTCTCTCTCTTTCTCAAGTGGTGGATCTGATCTTATAAAATCCCGCGAGGATGCAGCTGCTTTTATAAGCAACACCAATTGTAGCTCTGTCATGATAGCAAGAGCTGCACAATGGAATCCTTCAATCTTTAGGTTAAATAATCATCACCTGATAAGTATTGTGTATTTTTTATATTTCCTCTCTTTCTCTCTCTTATAGATCATCAGGGCCTCTTCCCACTGAGGAAGTGGTCAAAGAATATCTGAAACTTGCCATTGAGTACAATAATCCTTTTGCTAATACGAAGTACTGTCTAGCTCAAATAATGCATGACAGGTTAACTTCTCCAAATGGAGCCAAACTGACAGCTGCTCGCTCAATGGAGGAGCTATGGTATAATTAATGCACACTTTTAATCTTGAAAAAATGTTTCATATAGTAATGTCTGGGGCATGATTTCTTATTACGAAGAAATAATGGCCAAGAGACGCGAATTGTATGAAAACTTATCAATCAGAGAACAGAAAGTAGCTAGTTGTTTGGTGTTTTTCTTAACTACATATAACATTCTAGGAACTTTCTTTCATAACTGATCGTTTGTTTCCATCAAAGAAATCGAAAATGGATCCAGAAGTGACTGAAGATGGTACGCTGGAATTATTCATTAGATACGAAAGGTAATGTAACAATTATAATGAATGTAAACTAGGAAACCATATTATTATTATTATTATTTGCAGTAAAGACTATATTAATGTGCCTACTCCTAAAGTGTACCTCAACGACTGGTAAGTTTTGATGGCATAATTAGCATGACAGTAGTTTTATGAGTGTCATTTGTAGGACAACAAGAGAGAGACTACCTATAAAATACAACACAGTATGAATTACAATAGATTAATATTATTTATTACTAATTTATTTATAGGTACAGAGAAGTAAAGACCAGTTATTTAAGTCAACACTAACAATTAAAGATACTTGCTATTCGTCAAGCCTTTGGTAATTATCATATGTTATATAGCTCACTGTTACGCTTCTTATTTCTTTTAGGGCTAAGAGTAAAAGAAATGCTGAGCAATCTGCTGCAATGGTTGCATTAGAAATAATAGGAATAAAAACACCACAGTCAACTGCCAGCAATTCATGAAGCATCTCTGGTGTGAAAACTGTGAATGTTATTGTGTACTTTTGATGTTACATTATTTATCTGTGATTTGAGTTGATAATTAAATTAAACGGAATAATTTTGATTTATAACTAGCTCCGCCTATCATAAAAATGGCTTCTAAAGGTGTAGTGCTCATTCCTTCTAACAAGGTTCGCTGTCGCAATCTCGACCCACTTCGCTTCGTCATCAAAGACATTAGACATGGGAACACCGAGGCTGTTATGAAGGCACTGAATTCTTCTCCCGAGCTGTCTGGGATCTTCCGAGCTCGTCTAATGGCCGATCGCGTCCCTAAAGGCCGTTCCCCTCTCGTTACAGCATCGCAACACAATAGGATAGACCTACTGCACTATATACTTGAAAACTATCAAGCCAATTTAGAACAAGAGACATCGACCGATATAGAGGGCGGGCATCCAGTGGAAGGAGCCACACCTCTTTGGACAGCCTCTACTCTGGGTCATATCGATATTGTCTCTGACCTAATCAGGAGAGGAGCAAACATAGAACACACGACAGACTCGCGGTCCAGCCCGCTTAGAGGAGCAGCTTTTGACGGACATTTGGACGTTGTGAAGTATCTAATAGAGCGAGGAGCAGACATTGATAAGCCAAATCAAGTAGGGCAGAGCCCACTGACAATCGCTGCTGCCATGAAGAAAGAAGAAACCGTCAAGTACTTACTTGAGAAAAAGGCCAACATTCATCACAAGGGTCATAACGGGGACACCCCTCTTCACGTTGCTGTGGAATCAGGCTCTAGCGAAATAACAAAACTACTCGTTGAAGCAGGCGCCAAAAACATACCAAATGATGTCGGATACACACCAGCGATAATGGCATGTTGCTACGGTCACCAAGATATCATGAACTACTTGAACAGCACCTTTGTTCTAGAGCAACAGGAGCTGTACGACTGTTACTGTCTCCTTGTGGCTAAGGAGGTTCTTAGCTCTGACTTGAGTGCTGCTTTGGATTGGCTATTGAAAGCAATTGAAGTCCGTAACGCTCACCCATTGATATCAGCAGAACTAGATAAGAGACCTCTAGAAGACATATATGATAAAATGAGAGAGCCGTCTACTGAGGCCGAGGCCCGGGCTATACTACGCAACAACATGGAGTCCTTCTTTCTCTGTGCCATGTATTGCGAACGTATCCTTGGAGCGATACATCCAACTACTCCATTTTATATCAGAATCAGTGGGGACATGGCCCTAGAGGAGTCAAGACATGACAAGTGCATGCAGTTGTGGCTGAGGTCCCTCCAGTTTGATAATGCTGCTAGAATGGCGTACGAGCTTCAAATAATAGAAGACCTTCTTTTTAGCGTTAGAGGGTTCTGTAGTATGCTTGATGCTGGCTATGTCCCCCAAATACATCAGCACTTTCAGTGGGGAGTGAAGGAATTCAAAATGGCCAAAGAGAGTAAGATAAGTGAGGTCGATGTAGCGTATTGTCTCTGCCGGATGTTAGCAGTATGGTTCAAAGTCCTGGAGCATTCACCTGAGAATAAGTCAGAAGAAAGGAAGAGATTAGACTCTGCAGTTGAGACTCTTGTCAGTTTAATGGAAGGCAAAGAGACTCCTTTACTTGTTGCATGTCTCCATGACATAACTGGAGCACCAAAGACCAACAGTGCTGTCACCAGTGTTGCTAATGCTAAGCTACCTTTACACTCTGTTGTTGAGGTACTAATAGAAAATGGCTGCCCCGTCAATTGCGAGGATTTGGTTGGCAACTTTCCGCTTCACTTGGCTGTGAAACTAAAAGAGGACAGCTCCCTCGATTGTGTGAAGACTCTCATTGAATATGGCGCCCATTTAGATGCAGTTAATCACTGCAACGAGTCTGCTCTTTCTCTGGCAAAGAAGAAAGAGGGATATCGTAAAAACAATCAAGAAATCATCGATCTCCTAACTCTGTCTCTCCACAGAGACTTAAGCCTACAGTGTATAAGTGCAGCTACTATTGTAAAGGAAGGCTTGAGCTATGTCGGTGTCCTTCCGTCATTCCTTATATCGTTTGTATCAGAGCATGATACTGATGGACTGGTGACTCAAGAGAGTGAGGAAGAGGGAGAAGGAAAACTTGAAGAGGAATCTAGCATTAGCACTACTGACAGTTCCGTTAATAGTTGATTTATGTAATAATTATTTAATATTATTATTTTATCATTATGATAGTCCATTTAAACTTGATTTATGTAACAATTATTTATTATTATTATTAATATTATTTTATGATTTATGATAGTCCATTTACACAAGATATACATTATATATATATATACACCAATAGATAATTAAGACAATTTGGATGTTAATAATTTCATAAAACAGGGTTAAAGGTTTGATAATATTGTCATGACAATAGCTCAATTTCATCAGCAGTTGTAATAGAAGGGGAGTGACTACCTGTAGTTGCATCATTATCATCATTCACATGTAGTTGGAGCAATTTGTTAAGTAAAATCAAATATTCAAGGTTATCTTTCACTAGCAATTCGAATTGATCTAAGAGATAAATGTAGCATATGCTCTGACACTGACACTTTACTCACCATAATCCCACGATCCTGGTATATCAAGAAAATGAACAAGATCACACTCTCCATTTTCTCCATCATCACTCCTTCTCCTCCTCTTACATGAAGACTGTACACAGCACCAGCAGCTCTTGATGCGTTCTCTGCTACCAGATAGTGGCTGATAGCTCTCCATACTAATGAAGGAGTCATGGTATCTATCAGGAGATTGAGATGAGGAGGAGGAAGAGAGAGGAGATAAGAGACTTATTAGATCCTGCCTAGTGACTATCCCATCGTTATCAGTATCCAATAACTACAATAAAGAATGATGTACTTATATTATACACGTAAATGTGATATCCTTACATTGAATATGCTGTGGATTAGTTCTTCATTAGCCAGTAAGCATTTGGATTGATTGCACAGGCCAGTTACATATTCACGGAATATAATGGTTTTATTATTACCCTGTGTGTGTGTGTGTGTGTGTGTGTGTGTGTGTGTGTGTGTGTGTGTGTGTGTGTGTGGAGAGAGAGAGAGAGGTGGGAGGATTGTAACCTTATGCTCTTTTTCTTTCACTTACTTGATTCATTTCATCAAACATTTCATCAATGAGGCCATTATTATCATTGTTTAGCCTCATATACTGGACTATATCTTCTTTACTGATGAAACCATCTTTATTTACATCAATAACAGCAAATCTTCTTACTGACTTCTTTACTTGATCAAGTGTGACACTATAAAGAGAAAGAATAAGGCCATCAGTTTTTATTTGTTTACGTGTAAACAGAAGCATAAAACAGGCATACAAAGCCTCTTATTACAAACAGTACAAAGAGATGTATGTCACAGGATCCTGTCTTTACCTATGCTGTTTCGTCAGTGCCCCATACTCAATCACACCTGACCAGAAAGGGAGATGAGCTGAAAGTGCTTCACGTCCGAGAAATATGTCTTCAAGAGAATGCTGTGTTGCGGGTATGCCTAATGATCTTATTAGTAGAGAAACAAGTCTATGAACAAATAAGCCAATGGAAGCATTCATACTGGGCCATTAATGATTGGACATGTTCAGCAAACAATGTTGGATTGTCTTTCTCCTTATAAAAGTATATAGACAAGAGAAACAGAGATTCAATATCTGTCTAGTATTTTATATGTACCTACCTCTTCTGAAGGATGATAGACTGGCAGGTACTAAAAGAAGATAAAAAGTAATAAAAGTTTAAAGAGTTGCTCACTTCAATTTCTACACTGTTATCAAACTGACATACAGTCAGATACAATGACATTAGTCTATATACATGTACACACAGTCAAAGAAATAAAATTATAAGCAGAGTATCATATCTTACGGTCCTACTCCATTTTCAGTCCAAACCATAGTGTTCTGAGAGTGAGAAGGGGTCACTATAATATTAATAATCAAAACTCCATTCACTCACTAGCTTGTTCTTGTATCTTATTATTATTGGTTGGACAGCAACCTGTGGCTTGAATGCACCTACAATACAAGTATACTCTCACATGTAACATACTCATCTTTACCATGTTTGAATCTCAATAAACACTTTCGATTTGTTGTAGTACCTATATATTGGAAGAAAATCTTTAATAATTCTTTCTTGTAGCTATCATTTACCTTCAGGGTATATTAGTACTGGTGGCCAATCGTATGGGGAGTTCACTCTACTTATTATCTCGTTATAGCAGTCCTGTCTCGACTGGCTGTCCATACGTGACACAAATATTGTCTTTAGAGTTTGATCAGTGAGACCTGTAAGACAAAATGCAATAAGTAGAGTAAAGTCTCTACAGATTTGAAAAGGAGCATTACTACTTTCAATATTAAACTTCCTCATTCCTTGGGCAGTAGACAAAATGTGTACATAATACTATCATAAAAACTATCTACTCTGGATATTATATCCTAGCATGTGATTACCATGAGAGGAAGTCTAATAATAGTAAAATGTATACTGGCAAGTAATGCAGTTATAGTGGCCACCCAATCATAGATTAGGTTGTTCAATAGCACCCACACTATCAGGCCATGTTTTGACAGTACAGCAGGGTGTAATTTGCATCCATCACACCACTGGTATGAAAATGTGAGGAAGAAAAGGATATAATTAAGCTACTAACGTCCAAATATGGGTATGTTTCTAGTATCGGCCCTAGCAACAATGGTAGGAACGCAGTCCAGACAGCACAGCAGGAGGTCAAAGAAAGATGAATGAGGAGCCACCACTCGTATTGGTGCCTCTGAAGATGGAGCTGGTCTCCCTATCGTCCTAATGCAATGAAACCCAATCCCAAATATAAGCACACGATTAAAAAAGACGCCAATCCTGTGAATCAAAAACCTATGTAATGTAAAGGAGTGTGAAAGTTATGCATAAAAGTGATAGTTTTATACTTTCTCCATCCTTGGAGAGGTCTGGTTGGATCAGCGACTGCAGCAACAGCAGATATGATCAATCCTATGCATACTATGATGGCTATGAACAATAAACGTAGTGGCAAGAGCCATAACGTGTTAACAACGACCTAGGGTTGAAATAAAAGTGTTCTACTGCTGCTGTGATTTGATTGTGTGAATATACTTTGATTATATCCATTGAATTCAACGGGAGTTTGTTAGTGAACGGGTCCAGCCCTTTCCTAAACTGCTGTACATCTCTCTCGGTCTCTTTGAGACTGAAATACTCTCTCTTGCTGCTGGCACTCATAACTCTATGTCTTCTCCTAGCCAAACACTTTTGCAGGAGGTCACAAAGGCAGGGCTGCTGCGTGGGCGGCAAAAGATACTCTCCGCCCACATAAAATAATAATCACGCCTATTTTAATTAACTTGGCCCGGCCTATACCGGATGTTATGGTGGAGGCCTGGGAATGCATGAGGAGGAGGAGGAGAGTTGCTCCTACACACACTCACACTATCATCATCTGCTTCTTTCTTTCTCTTTCTCTTCCTCTTCCCTTTTCTTGAGGGACCCTCAAGTACAACTGCTTATAACATCCTTCCCTCTCTTCTCTCTCCGTCAAATACTAGAACTAACCTAAAACAAGTAGTGCTCTTTTACTCTCTAACTCTCCCTCTCTCTCTCTCGTTCCAGGGAGAGAGCGAGTATGATATCCTTCTCTCACATATAATGGACTCAACTGCTACTACTACTAATAAGAGGAACAGCAGCAGAAATAACAAGTCTAATACTCTCTCTCCTGCCAATTCAGGCCAAGCTCAGTATTCTTCAAAAATGTCCTCCTTCTCTTCTCCTCCTCACCAATTCAGCATCTCTGACTATAATCGCTCTAACGCTCACCTTAAAGTGTCCAATGATGCCATCTCGCAACTTCCTCAAGTTTTTGACTCTCTCCTCTCATCCCTCTCTACCTTCTGTCAGTCTGGACAGGAGCTAGCCTCACTGCTAGGGATAGTCCTTGAGGAGACCCCACTGGCAACTGTTGCCAATACTTATCATGACACGTGCGAAGAGCTCTCACTCAAGTGTACTCAGCAGGAATCGCTACTCCGTCAACAAATCACGGCCTCTTGTCAGAAAATGGGGCCTCTTGTCAGCTCACTTCGTTCCTCTATTGATCAGTACTCGAGGTCTGGAAAGAAATACGAGGCCTTGAAATCTCAGTATGAATCTCTCTCTATGGACTCCAAGACAAGCCAGGCAAAGGTCGAGCAGCTTCAGTTAAAGTTTGAGAGCTCGCGGAATGAGTTTAATCACTCGCTGGGTCAACTGAGCAGGACGACAGACGAGTTGGACTCTGCTAAAATAAACGTAAGAGGGAATTTTATTTAAATTAATAACGATTATTGCTATCATGTTTCTGTTTTTGCTAGTATTTTGTGGTTGATTAGCGAATGTCTGGTTTCACGTGTGTGTTACATGTATTTCTCCCTCTCTCAGGTCCTAGGTACCTGCTTCCTTAGCCTAATACAGAGTCATGCTAAACTCCTCTCTACTGCTGCAAAAGCTCTAGCACCACTTTCCGAGCTGGAAGCAGATACCCTAATTAATGCCCATCCCGTAGTACCACTGAATGCGACACTTGTGCAAGATCTGACGTTAAACTGGCTGTCATCAGCTCAGGTAAGAACTCTCCCTCCCTCTGTCTCTCTCTCTCTCTCTCTCCCTCTCTCTCTCTCTCTCTCTCTCTCCCTCTCATGTGGGGGAGAGTGTGAATTGAATAGCAGGAAGAAGCAATATGCACTATGTGTATATGTACATGCATTGTTCATAATATTATTGTATCTCTTATTGGTGCATCGTGTAATGCATGGAAGAGTTAGCAAGTATGTGTTGGTGTTATGTATGGATGCGTTGTCTGGTCCTTTTCTTTGAAGACAATTGTTTAGTGGGTTAACTCTCAGGATGAGCTACTCACTCAACAGCTCATTTCTCCCCCTTCTCTCTCTCTCTCCTTATCACATCTACATGTACATGTACATGTACACCGTATATCCTTTAATAATTACATGTACATGTGCATGTACACTTGACTCTGTAATCCTACATGTCCATGGCTCAAGAGTACTAATATTTTTGTGGGCATAATAATGTGTGTATGTGTTGGTCATCATTATATGTTTTCTGTAGGTGTATAGTAATTTGAGAGAGTGTGGCGGCTCTCTGTCCAGTAACGTGATATCGGATTTGACCAATTGGAGGAGTAATGAAAAGAGAAGAGCTGAGATTAATGTTTACATTGATTCTTTGATTAAGGTAAGAGAGAGAGAGATAGAGAGACAGAGAGAGAGACAAAGAGACAGAGAGAGAGACAGAGAGACAGAGAGACAGAGAGAGAGAAAGTGAGAGAGAGAGAAAGAGGGGGGATTGGAGAGGAAGAAGGGGGAGAGAGTGAGAGGGGGTGTTTGTAATGACTTGACTCATCACATTATTGCTCGATGTGTGGGGGATGAGTCTGTCAATACACAATTATAATTATTGTAATCTTATTTATTATTATTATTATCATTATTATTGTTCTTATTTTATTATTTTATATCTTTTAATATGTGACTCCATTGGCAGCTGTGTGTAAGCGAACTCACTCATGAGTTTAATTGACATTCCTTAGATGTACATTAATTGCATGTACAGTACATGTGCACAAAGTATGCGCGTGTGTGTATGTGCACGGAAAACTCCTACTGACATGTACATGTACATATACAGTACATGTACATGTAGTACATCTACATGTACATGTAGTACATCTACATGTATTTTTATTAGTTTCATTCTTTCTCTCTCTCTCTTCTTCTTTTAGTCTTACATTTCCGAGATCAGTAATGGCATTCTCAGTCGGCACACGCTGTCTGGAGGGTTTCATTTAAATCCAAAAGGAATTGCTTTAGCACTCAAAGTAAGCCCAGAGTGCCTCTAAGCATAAGATACATGTATCATTTATTTTTAGTAACTATATTAATGCATTCAATGTCATACATGTAAATCAATGATTTTTTTTTCCTGTCTCTCTGTGTGTAGGGTTGCGTTAGTGAATTGGAGTCTGCTGGTGCTGGGGTCTCTCCTCTTCCCTCCTCTTCTCGTGAAGCAAACAACCTCATAAAGAGAGAAATACCTCATATTGTCCTTACCGTTAAAGGGAGAGAGATAGGAGCTGCAACTAGTTCTGATTCACGCGATAATTTCCAAGAGAAGCTGGTAAGGAGAGGATGATTAGCTAAGGGGGAGGTGTAGTCATGAATGGGCTGAGGCCTAATTTGATTAAAATTCTAAGATACAACACATCATCCTTTATCACTCAATGGCTTGGGAATTTGTATCATTAGAATTACCCTCTCTTTGTTCTTTCTTGTCCCCCTCTCTCCTACGTCTCTTTTTAATCACTACATGTACATGTACATGTACATGTACATGTACATATCTTATACGATAACATGTTTCTTTCCTCCTTTAGTCGGCCGTTAAAGAGTTAGTCTCGGGTTTGGTTGAGCCACGTTTGTTCTCAGAGGAAGTTGACGAGGAGATTGTGTCTGAGATTATCAATAAAGCCTCCATGCATGTACTTGCCCTCTCTTGTCACTCTGTCATTAGTAGATCCTCCAAAATAGCAGCAACACTCTTGTATGGAAGATCTAACCTTGTAAGCTAAATGTACATGTACTTTGATTTAAAAGCTTTTTATTTCTTAGCTGATTCCGAAATTAATTTTACATGTACATGTATACTTTTAGGTGATGGTGAGGGAATCTCCTTTACCAGAGGAGGTGCCAATGGTTACTATAGCAACAAATTCGGCTGAAAATGGAGAGCCTTTGATATTAATAGAGTCTCAAACAGTTTGGTAAGACAGAGAGAGAGAGGGAGAGAGAGGGGGAGAGAGACAGAGAGGAATGCTAGGAGTGAATAGCTATAAGGTAGTGGTTAAATCTCTGGTCAGTGGTGAGAGAATATAATTTCATTAAGTCTTGTGTAGTGGTCAATGCTACAACAAGCAGGAACTATTAATGATGATACGTACATGGAGCATTATTCATGTGGTTGGTACAGTACATCGCATTGAATGAAAAAAGCACGGTAATTTTTAAAATGAGATGGTTGGCTGCATCTTTTGTTACATAAAGCTGCAATTGCGCTAATTTTCAATCAACATAATAATAACAAATAAAAATAATAAATAATAATAACATTATATATCTTTGTTTGTGTATGAAGGTGTTAAGCTATTCTTTGTTTGTGTAGGTGGTTAGTGGAGGACAATGGAGTCTTCCTCTCTCCTCTTTCTCGGGTTCCTCCCACTCATACCTTCATGGCTAGGATATTGACAGATTATGCTATACAAGTTAATGTTGAGGAATTTATTAAAAAGTAAGTGATCTTAGGAGATGGGAATTGTTATTCATACCCTGCCTACCTTCTCCCCCACGTTATATTTATGTCCCTTCCTCCCATCCCACATTTTTATGCAATCTTTCCCTCTTCCTTTTAGTTCGTATTATCAGCCATTCGTTCCGTCTTTCACTATCCACTGTGCAAGAATCAACAAAGATTATCTCTCCTTGTATCAAACTCACTCCTCCTCCTCAAAGCACCACAAGGGGCTACACCACTCTTCCTCCTCCCTCAAGCACCACAGAAGCCACAACTCCCTTAGATATGCTTCTTCGGAGAGTGAGGGCATCCAAGAAGACTCACCAAACTCCACGATCACTCCGCCTTCCTCTGGTCACAGTTCTGATCGGTCACGTACAGGGAGTGGTCTAGGAGCCCCCGGGAGGCTCTATCGGAGTAATTCTAACGATAGTATCAGTACTGCTACTAGTAATGTAACGTTAAAGGCTAACCAGTTTGATGGACCAGATGATATTATGAATATACTTGCCTCCAATAAGCAGCGTGGTGGATTGACCCAGAACACTTTATTAGCACACACAACCGGCAGTAGCAGACATCGGTACAGCCATCGGAGGAAAGAGCTTGGATCAGAGGGAAGGAGAGAAGAAAAGGAAAAGAATATTATTGGTGAGAAGAGAGAGAGGGGGGGAGAGAAATATTAATGAGCTAGGAATTTATGTTTAATTTTTCTATTTATTAGATAAATCATCTCGTACATCTTCAGAGTCAGACTCTGTTCACGCCTCCAACTCCTCACTGAAGTTCACTCCGCCGTCTGAAGATTTCAATGCTATGTATGGCATTTTGGGCCAGACTGATTCCACGCCCCCAGGGGGGAGTGACTATTTTGATGACTTGACAAGAGACCCAGAAGACAGTGAGAGAGAGTTCCTCAGTGGAGACACTGAGGAACACCTACTACAGAGCCAGATTATTAATAATGATGACAGTGACTTGAGAAAAGGAGGAGGAGGAAGCATTGGGACTCTCTCTTCGACCACGCCTCTCACTGGCAGCTCTAGCGGGGCAGACTCGGGTATACATGTAGATGGAGTTGTCAAGTTCCGTAACCCTTCGCTTAGGACTAACTTGCAGCACCTTCCCTCAGACGAAGGATCCTGGAGTGGATTTGAGAGTATTTATAATCGTAGGTTGGGACCAATATGTCATCCTGGGGGAAGGGGTGGAGATATTTCATCTGATAGTGAATCGGAAACAACTTCAGGGTATGTTATTAGTACAGCATAGTGGAGAGGGTTTCCCACAGGATTTTGGCTTAGTGGTCATGCAGATTCTTGTCCTCAGAAATTGAGAACAAGAGCCTTATTGTAGTAGTACAGGGTATTTTGACAAAAATTACAAGAAGATAAATTTTAATTTTTATACTTTTTTCTGACACATATACATGTACTTATCTTGTGTAGAAAGCTTGAGCTGATTCCGATCAAGTTTGATGCATGTTTAATGAGCCAATTTTTAGAAAAAGCATACAATGTACATGTACTTCTTATGATGAATCAAACTTGATGATTTTTATTTTGTTATCACTAGGAGAAACAGTCGTGATGCTAATATTGGAGACAGTCCTGATGAACTCCCTGGAGGAAGATCATCAGTAAGTCCTATACAGCGTACATTATACTATACTTTATACTTTTGCAATAAAATTTAATAATAATAATATTCTAATTACTTCCTCTTTGCTCTTATAGTCGAGTGCCTCGCTCCATAGCTCCTCAAGGCTCTCACACGTTGATTCATCAGACACCTCTAGCCTACCAGACACCCACGACTACCAGTCCTTTAATCATGCTCCTGGCTCCCATCGTATCAACCCCCACCACAAGAGACAGTCCTCTCTCTCCTCCTATCCCAATGGTCCCCCTCTGTCTCAGGACGGGAACGACCCGTCCCGCCCCTCCTCCTTCTCGCAGGAGGTCATGATATCCCAAGACATACCCCTTGACAGGGACCTCCCCTATCCTGGCTCCTCCCATTTTTCTAATCCTTATGACCACGAGATGAGGGCTGGGATGCAAGGTGGCGGTACCTCACACAGTCAGTTTTTGAGTGATCCTTATCCTGGGGCTCCTCCCCCGTACATTAACGATCATCATCAGCGTAGGATGGACTTTAGACGTCCTCCTCCTCCTCCTGGTCCTTATTGGGACCCAGGGTTCACTCCTCCGGGTCACATGATGCCTCCTCCTCCTCTCCCTCAAATGAGGCCACACCCACCACCTCCACCACACGATATGTATCACCATGGTAACGGTTATCGTGCCACCACTCCGGAGATATCACCGGCTCCGTCTCCGCACCCAACTCCACCCACAACTCCTCCCCCTCCGATGCTAACTATGCAACCTTCACCGATACGTCTCCCACCTAATCCGAGGCCACACCAATTTCGTGTCCCTCCTCCTCATAACATGCAGTTTGCTCCTCCCCCTAGGGGTATTCCTCCTCATCATCGTCCCCCGTTGGGTCCTCCCATGCCACGCCCCCATCCTCCTCCCCGTGGTCCCATGGTACCCCCGCCACATCACGGACGTCACATGCCCCCTGGTCCTCCCCATGGCCGAATGCATGATTGGCCCGAGTGGCATCATTAATTGTAATTAAAGAATTAATTTAAGTGTAATGATTAATAATCTCTAAGTTTTAGTTCTGTATTATACAGTAGTGAGGGGTAGCTATGTAATACTTTAATTATTACTGATAATTATTAATAATCATTAATATTAGATTTAGTTTTAATTTTCTCTTCAGAAGCTATTTAATTTTGTGGCTGTTGTGTTGCTATTATTATTATTATTATTATTATTATTATTATTATTATTATTATTATTATTATTATTATTATTATTATTATCAGCATGGGCTCCTGTTATTATTTAATCAACCCCACTATTATTATTAATTATTATGTTATTAAACAGAACACATTAATGTATTATTGTATTATGTATGATATTATAATTATACATCATTCTCCAATAATTACTGTTACTAAAAATGATTATTTTTACAAACACAAAGCTGCTGCAACAAGGCGTTGGCTGGAACGGGCGTGGCTCAATGCATAGATACGCGATACGATATCAAGTTTCGCCTTTCTTTCAGTGATCTTGCAGTTTCCTCTTGTAACTTATCAGGTACTATGGCTGAAAACAAAGACTTGGAGCTAGAAGAGGTGAAAGTTGGCAATGATTCGGTTGTCTCAGGTGAAAAAGAAAGAACTGTGACAGAAGAGGAGGCTGAGACCAAAATGGATGAGAGTACTCCTGTAAAAGCAGAGCCAGAGGAGAAGAAAAAGAAAAAAGAGGAGGACAAGAAGAAAGACGAAGGTTTTATGGTGCATGTGGAGGAAGATGACGATCCTAGGTGCTGTTTTTCGCTCAAGTCTAAAGCTTATCGAAACGTGTTTGGTACAGGAGTATCATTTATGATGTCACTCAGTGCTGTAGTGTCACTCTTCTCTCTCCAGAGCAGTCTCAATGACACTGCGGGGCTGGGGCTGGCAAATCTCTCTGTATTTATGGGATTTTTCTTCATATCTGGTATTTTTGCATCATCCATAATTAGGATACTAGGAACCAAGTACACGCTTATATTCTCTTACACTTTGCTAGGAGTTTATACTGTAGCTAACTTCTACCCGCATTGGTACACGCTAGTTCCTGCAGCTGTTTTTGGTGGCATGGGCTTTGGTCCGGTCTTTGCTGCAGGCAATGTTCACGTTACGACAGTTGCAATTAGATATGCTCACCCTTTAGGAGAAAAAACAGAGCATTTAGTGTCCTTATTTACAGGGATACAGGCAATGTTCTTTAAAGTCTCATACATTCCTGGCAGTTTAGCAACTGCAGCCATATTGTTTAGCGAGAGGTTATCAAATGAAAGCGAAATAATTATGTCACCACTAGGCAATGTCTGCGATAATGATGAAGCAAGCAAGTTGAATCCATCATACGTCTATATACTGATATCTGTCGATGTCATATTTGACATAATAGCTATCCTAGTCTGTCTGGCACTACTGGATAATCTACAAGAGGGAGGTTTCAAGAAAGAATCCAGAGGGAAAGTCTGGAAGCAGTTCATCAAGAAGCCAATTGTGGCTACCTTCAAGATGTTCAAGAGCTGGAAGATGTACATGATAATCCCAATGATGGTCCTAGATGGATACTTAGCTTCATTTGCTTTGGGGACATACTACAGAGTAAGAAAAAACACTTCTATTTATTTATGGGATTGGAGTACTATAATAATGCAAATGAGATTACATTTATTCCTCTTTCTGATTGTAGGCATATGTATCAGAGTGTATAGGTGTTCATTGGGTTGGTTTTGTTGTATGTACTTTTGGTATATGCTCTGGTCTCTCTGCAGTGATTGGAGGACGATTGGTGAAGTGCATCCCACAGTTTTCCATTGTGTATACTGTCTCTGCCATACTCTTTGGTCTAATGTTCTTTCTTATATTCTGGGAGACAAGGCCTAGCTACATTGTAGCATTTGTGGTTATTGCTGTTTGGGGGATCTGTGAGGGAATATGGCATTCTGTTCCACCAAGTGAGGATTGAAAAAATTTTGATTTAGATTAACAGCTATTACACCATTTCTTGACACTATAACACTGTAGCAGATAGTATTATTTTTAGGCTCTCTGCATCCATCATACTTAAGACCAATTCATGCTTTCCATGTTGCCACCAGAATTTAGTGTCTGCATGTAAAAACAGTTGCAATATATTGGAGTGTGTAACAAACATACTGAGAAGAAATTCATAATAAGACAATGCATTACCTTAAAAGTGTTGAGGTTAATTATATTCATAAAACCTGCACTAAATTCATAATTTTTTTCATTCATGCGCATTATTATAGATTATTATTTAATAAATTCATAGGTTTGGTTGGAGTGCTATTCCACAGAAAACAAGAGCCAGCATTCAGCGTCAGTCGTATGGGTCTGGCAACAGGAATGCTCTTAGGATTCTCTACTGCAATATTCTTAACAGTCCCTCAACTTCTATGGGTTGCAGTCTCTTTCCTTGTAGTGTCTCTAGTAACTTATTCGTTCCTAGTATTCAAAACAGAGACTAGGCATCAGTTGATACCTTGCTGTCCTAGGAGAGAGGATGAGCCAGAGGAGGAGGAGGAGAATTATGAACAGGAACTGGAGGAAGAGGGTGTAGTTGAAGTTGGACTTACTGAGAATGTCTTCTAATTGAGCTGAGCTCCACCAAACATGTCAATAAATAAATAAATTTTGAAATGCATTATATATATTACATGTACATGTATATTATATTATATTATATTATTATTATTGTGTTTTAATTTTGCTAGAACAGTTTTTGTTAATAATTATGGAGACATATAATTGTTTTTCAATTGATAGCATATTTTTAATGAAATATTTAAACCAAATAACTTTGTTGATTATCATATAATATGCTATATTTAACACAACTGAATAGCAGCAGCAACAACAATAAATAATAGAAATAATAATAATAAGTACAAGAGATATATATATATACCACACAATAGAATACATGTGACAGTTTATGTTCTTAAGAGCTAATGTGGTGATGCTTGATACAGAACTGAGTGATGCGTTGGACTGCCTCGACTATCTTCTCTCCCGGCATTATTAACACAATACGGAAGAAGTTAGGAAACTTGAAGACCTAAAGAATAAAGTATAGTCATAAGGAGAGGTAGTGAGAAGAGGCTTACATCTCCTGGCAAACAGAATACAGATTGCTCCAGTACTAGTTGCTTAGTAAAGTCAATGTCATTATTGAACTCAGGGAACTCATTTATATCAATGCCAACCATCAAGTACATTGCACCTGATGGCATTATAGGATTAAGACCGGGTGCCTTTAATAGACCATCATAAACCAGCTCAGCATTCATCTAAATAGGATAAAAAAATTAATGAGATCAAAAAATAAGAGGTAAATGAGCGATTAGTACAGTAGGATTCATTTTTAAAATGCTCACAACTTGAAAATTATCTGTTGGAAATAGCCCAAACTTTTTACACAGCATAAGGACGTCAAAATACATCAAAAATGCAACAAAAAGGGGTGTTTTTGGAGCCAATACCATGAGCTATAGCCTTTGCTTCTTTCAAAATTGGCTCATTTTTTAAAAAGGTTATAACTCAAAAAATTATTTGTCTGAAACAGCTCAAATTTTCCATGTAGCATAAGGACATCAATATGTATCAGAAAAGCATTTATACAAACTTGTAATATTGATATGTTTCTCTCGTGGTAATCAGCTGGAACGTTTTGAATGATACCAGGGACTGCCGCCTGGACTACAGTAGAAGGACCAAGTGTCTTCATTACTATATTAGTAAAACCATCACGGACCTAAAAACAAAAAGGAACAGAAAGACTAGAATGGAGAACAAGTAAGACACTACTTCATCTTTGAAGGCGTCTACGGGATCATGGATTAATATCCAACCGAGCCTCCAGCCAGGGATCATGTACTGCTTGCTGAGGCCACCGCACACAAGAGCTGGTACTTTAGTGCTAACTGACGCAATTGAATGAAAGGAGCTGCCAGGGAACACCATCTCTGCATATATTTCATCACTTATGACTGGTAGGTAATGTCTAGCAGCAACTACAAGAAGGCAACAGTGATCACTTCAGTTGTAGTCCAAGAAAAAACACTTATAAAATAATAACTGACAAAAGTACAATTACAATAATCAGAAAAGAAAATGTCTTTATATTGATATAGAAATAGACAAAAGATGGTCCAACATTGGATAGTAATCATCAAATGACCATTGAACTTAATCCTTTGATGGTAAACATAGCACAAACAAAGGCATGACATCAAGAGCGGATAATTATGATGACATGTAAAATACCACACTACATTGTCAATAATATGATATGACATAACTACTACAAGTTATGTACCACAATGTAGAAAGATAAATCAATGCCAATCACAACAAATTATAGTATAAAGGCTTCTATTTATATGATACTCACAATCAGCCAGCTCTTTTACATGCTCCTTTGAAAATACAGAGCCACAAGGATTGCTAGGATTATTTATTATGATTGCAGCTGTGTTATCATCAACAAGTCTCTCCATGTCACTTATGTCTGCTTCCCAATTTTGATCAGGCTACAGAAAATTAATAATAATTTTAAAAGGAATATTTATAGCATTAGCACCTACTCAATGATAATACGTTACAATACCTTTAAAGCATAGTGCCTAATCTCAACTTGTTTTGCACCTGTGAGGCAGTCATACAAGGCAAAGCCTGGCTTAGGAGAGAGTATATTCTGTCCTGCATTAGCCAACACACTAATAGCATACTCTAGAGCACCAGAACAAGACGAAGTCATGATAACATCCTACAAGAGATAGGGAGGGGAGATGCACAGTACATAAGAGTGCAATGATCGAGGGCGTACTTCAGCGGTCAATGGTGCCTGGTTTATTACAGAAAACTTCTCAGCTACAGCTTTTCTTACATGAGGCAGACCTTGAGAAAGAGGGGAGGGATAGAGATAATGAGAAGACTTATCTATACAATATAGATAGACTCTGTACCTTTAGAGTGTCCATAGCCATTATAAGAGCCAGTGTCCACTGCAGCTTTAAGTGATTCTATGGCTACTGGATGAGCAGGAAGATTACCAAACACAGCTGGGTCACCTGTTACAATAATCGAAGACATAATAACATTCCATTTTTTGTATCTCCTTCACAAACCTATGGAGAGTTTTATCAGCTCTTTTGACTGGTCTCTCTTCTCTAAAACTTCTTTAAAGTATTTCTCTTCGCTGAGTCGAACGTTATTAACGGCTCCCTTGGATTCCAGTGAAGAAGATACATTCCATCCTTCTTTTCTCTTCTTCTCTCTTGGACCCAGATTAGAAGGCAAGGCATCCCCGTTCTCCGTCAGACTGTGCTTCATTACTCCATTCATCTTTCTCTATTAATCAAGCAAAACTAGGCTATACCTATCTTTTGCTCTTTTCGTTTTCGAGGCTCTTTTCGAGGCTCTTTTACAGAAACTTTACACCTGACTCCTGAGTGACTGAGTGACTGACTGACTGACTGTAAAACTTTGAGGACCAGTTGACCACGCCCAAAAGAGACAACACCCTCAAATTCAATCACGTGAATTCTGCTCTCGTGAGAAATAAAAATGGCTGATTTACCAGGTACGTCCTAAACATGCTAAACAGTAAACACACGCTAAATAAAACCCTTTCACCATCTCTGCCTTTTTCCAGGTGACGAAGAGACCAGTTCAGAAGGAGGATTGAGAAAAATTGAATGGAGCGAGATTGTAAAGCATAAGGACCAGAACAGTCTTTGGATGGTGGTTCACAATAAAGTCTATGATGTCACCAAGTTTATGGAAGAGGTACATTTCCACTAATTCATTCGTTATTTACATTTTTCTAGCATCCTGGAGGAGAAGAGGTCCTTTTGGAGCAAGGAGGTGCGTTGAACTACATGCATAGTTCTTTACTGTTTCTCTTTAGGTCGTGATGCTACTGAGGCATTTGAAGATGTCGGCCATTCTCCCGATGCACGTGAGCTCCAGCAGAATTATTTGATTGGGGAATTAGCAGCTGGAAGTGTTAAACCTGTTGAGGTCAGTCATGTAATTATTATGTAACTGTTATACGTGTGCAGTATTGAATCCAAATGAATGCACACTCCATTCAAACCAAGTGTCAAAATGTCTTCTCTTTATTGTTGTGTCTTTCTCTCTCTCTCTCTACAATAGAAGAAGACTAAGCCAGATCCACCAGGAGTTCAAGATGACAGGTTAGGTTCATTTAGAATACAACTTACAGCCATTGAACTATTAATCAGCTTTCTAACGAATTTAGCATGTGGCGGCTGTCTCATTCAATGAATTTTAAGACCCCATCACACATAAGACGCATAATACATGTACATTGGTTATGACTGCAATGAAGACCAAGATATCTCTCCCTCCCTCCCTCTCTCTCTCTTCCTTTCTTTCATATGTCTACACATACATACATACACAATATTGCAGTGATGGTAATTCTAATTTAAGACGCATCCTATTCTTTGGAGCTATCATAGTTGGAGTGGCAGCTTATATAGGATATAAATATTACATTGCTTACAAGGACAAAACAAAATGATTTGCTTTATATCTATATCTTTTGGAATACTTTGATTTAGTTTTTTTTTGCAATCTCTTTGTTTACATTATTTGCAATTAATTTTCTAGTTAATTAATTCACTTTTATGATAACTTTATGCAACATTATGCTAAATGTACAATTTTTGCGCCTTGTACATAATGTACGAATTCCTTTAGTCACTGCTTCTCTCTTCTCCCCCTCTCTCTCTCTTGTCTCTACAGTTTAATCAGGATGTTACATTTGATTGGGTCAATTGTATTGGTCTTAACTGCTTACGGAGTGGAAAAACTTTCTAAATAAGACCGGCTTGCAAGGAGCCACCATTTTGTCAGATTATTATACTCCTTAGAGAGAGAGAGAGAGACTATTAGCATTCAATTTGTTAGAAATATTAATTTATTTGTCATTAAAGTTAAAAAGTAATGATTAGTATTAGTAGCTAAGCACAGTGCTCTTCAATGTACTGTCCATTAATTCTCTCTATCATAAGAAAGCTATGCATACAACATACTGAACAATCCCTAGCAGTAAATTATCGATCTGATGCGTGTATGCTTCCATTGCCGATCCTACTAATATACTTGAGCCAAGGACAGTCCAGGAGTAATGAGAGAGAGGAGGAACAGAGCTACCTAAAAAAGGATAGAGTAGCCCAACACTTTCCTTGCACTACTTTTACTTGTATAAACGACTCCAGCTGCTACTATAAATTGGCATACAACCGACATGAAGGTCCCTTCAAACGTTTTACTCGTCCCAGGCCACTTGTGTCTCCCAACTAGCGTCCCTGAGACAGCTGCAATAGAATCACCCACTCCAAGAGCAAGGACACCAGAATACATGCTTAACTGTGATACTAAGAGACAGGTTTGTCACACTAATGTCATGCATATACATGTATGTACCTGAATTAGTTTGGTGTAGAGGGTAAAGCCAGATTGGTATTGAGAATCCCAATAGTAGGTAAGTATGCGTTAGTATCAGGTAACCAGTATCACGCTCGTCGGTGAACGGGATCAACATTTTATTGATAGCGTCACCAAGAGGCCATATACCAAATAACCTTATTAGCTAGAAAAGAAGAGTGAGAGTGTTAATGAAGTGTTATACCATTGATCCTTTACTTCAATGACGATGAAGAACACTGTGACTAGAGATGAGGAGACGGAGAGTAAAAGTGGATCAAACATTAGGCCAGGGACATACACTGCAACTGCTAGCAAATGGAACCATTTCCTCATCCAGAGAGAGGAAGGACTGAAAAGGAAGAGAATACAAAGAGAAATTGATTCATAAGGAGTTAGAAACTTAGGAGAGTGTCTATACTTACGATTCACTTTTGAGGCAAGAGAGACTTGGAATATGAACCGATTGTGCTACTACTATGACTGAAGTGAGGAATACAACACACATCCAGTAACAGAGTAATAAGGTCTATAGAGAATGATGCTTAAAATCAGCATTAAATCTTATTTATAAACCCTTACTCTTTCTTGAGAAGAAAATAAAAAATCGATTAGCCACGGGAATGGAGATGAATCCATTACGAGGCCAAGCGAGGGCAATACAACAAAGAAAGCAAAAAGGAAAGAAACTTGTAAGAAGCCGAGAGACCAGGCATGAATGTAAAAAGACTCACTAAAGAGAAGACAATAGTAATGGAGGTACAGCTGTGCAGTAATTACCACTCTTACTTGGTACAAGCTAATTTGTAGAGGAAGAAAGAGAAAAGGAAACAGCACAAGATGAACCCAGTGACCCCAAACTGAAAAGAAACACTGTCAAACACCCAATAACTTTAAAGATTGTACTTACTTCAAGAAAAAGAAATGAAGTGCTTCTTTCAACAGAAAATACATCAGGTAATTCGTATAAATCAAACTAAAGGAGACAGAGGAATAAATATAACGTGCAATCAGGTGCCTTGGGTATTTTCAAAAATTGGCCGTTTTTTAAAATGGTCATAACTTGAAAATTTTTTATTGGAATCGACTCAAACTTTCTACACAGCATAAGGACATGAATGTGTATCAGAAAATGTAATAAAAATTGGGGGTGATTTCGGAGCCATTTTTTGGAAAAAACCATGGGCTATAGCCTTGGGTATTTTTCAAAAATTGGCCCGTTTTAAAAATGGTCATAACTTGAAAATTTTTTATCGGAATTGACTCAAACTTGCTACATAGCATAAGGACATCAATATGTATCAGAAAATGTAATAAAAATTGGGGGTGATTTCGGAGCCAATTTTGGAAAAAAACCATGGGCTATAGCCTTGGGTATTTTTCAAAAATTGGCCCATTTTTAAAAATGGTCACAACTTGAAAATTTTTTATCGAAATCGACTCAAACTTTCTACACAGCATAAGGACATGAATGTGTATCAGAAAATGTAATAAAAATTGGGGGTGATTTCGGAGCCATTTTTTGGAAAAACCATGGGCTGAAACCTATGTGGCATTGGCAAAAGGCTTTGGAATTGACTTATAAACTTTTACACAAGCTATTAAAATCAAAAAGTGTATAATGAAACAACTAACTTTAATGAGCATTAATAGTGTAGTATCTACCACCAGTAGACTGACTCCCTGACATAAGAGAGATACCTCACAGAGAGTGAATGACTTTGGAAAGGAATAAAGCAGAAATGGAACAAAAACACTATAAAGAGTGCAATGTAGAAAAAGTGGAAGAGAAGGAACTAAAAATAAAATAATAATAATAAGCAAAAACAGCTTTAATACTGACTTGCCTTGTAAAACATTGCTAATGACAAAGACTATAATAATTAATAATAGATTGTAAATAATTATTGAATTAGGATAAGGAGCAGAATTGAGCAAGGTTGGTAGAACTGTGGCTATTGAAATAGTACAGCAGAGGACAAGGTAAAGAGAAACAAGCTCTAATGGAGAAAGTCAAAACATAAAACACAATCTTTTCTCTAGTTTACGGATCAATGCTGGCTGATGATTAATGATATGAGATAACAAAGCAATGCAAGTCATTGGCGGTAATAGACAAGCCAATGGAAGTCCCTGTCCACCTGCCGGCCTAATAAAGGAGCAATAGTCAGTTATGTTCTATCAAAAGGATCATATACATGTGTATAGATACCTCATTTCAAATGTTTCGATTTTACTGGGAAAATAATCCAGCCAAGTTGTAAAAAGAATAATAAGAATTGCAACTAAAAAGTGGTAAATTTAATGTTATCAATAAAAATGAAGCATACTAAGTAGAAAGAAGAATACTCTGTGGAGTACAGCAGTGTCCAAGTCCATTGGTGAAACAGAAAAGAATTTCAAAGCAACTACAATGCTCAGTAAGACGGCAATCCTCATCTCTACAGCTCTTCCGCGACTTTTCTGCATCTCTTTGACGTATTGCTTGAACTGGACCATAGTCTCTGCGTCTCCATCTCGTCTTTGCTGTTGTGTTCTTTCTCCAATTCCATCTCTAGCCCTTCTAGCTGCCATCTGCTTTCCGTAATGCTCTGTATATCTACAAAAACTGACTAATTACTAAAATGGGGCAATCCCTTCAATCTATGTATCTATGGCAGCTACAAAAACAAGAAGATCTACAGATCAGAGCCTGATTTCCTAGCTAGCTTAGGCTCGTCCTTTACATTTTGTCTAATTTTAAAACAATTTCTATTATTAACATCTTATCAGCAATTGCCTAAAAAAATAATCATCAGTTTTTGCAAAGAGTGAAGGGAGGCAGGAGATAACTAGGTCTCTATTTTCCTCTTCTTTGTCACAGTGTGTTCATCCACAGCTTTAGATGACATGCTAATAGCTGGAGCAATACTCTTCAGTAGTGGATTGCTAGACAATGAACCAAAGAGTGTAGCTAATAAAGCAACTCCATATCCAGTAGCCCTTTCACCCTAACGAAAAATAAATGTTATAATTAGTCTTTTAACTCTCTCTCTCTTTATTACAGAGGAGACAGGAGCTGCCATGTCAATGTGGAGCCATGTTCCGGGAAAGTCAAATCCCAAATGAGAGAATATGAACAAGCCAGCACAAGATACTTGCGCATTACTGCGATCCTAAAACATATAAAAATTTTTAAAAGTTACATTTACACTAAAGGTAAACCTGAACTGAATTCTTCATGTCTGCCAATACGCTATTGAATTCACTAAAATGAAGCTCAGGAGAGAAAGGGACTGGAAAGGCAAGATCTCCGGAAGCCCTTCCAGCAATGGAGCAGTGACCCTCAATGCCTTCATCATTACTCAATATGGCACCATGATACTTACCAGTAGCTATGCCCTGTAACACAAATGAAAGAAAGGGGTCAGCTCAATGCAATATAAAGTAATGCATTTTTACATGTACACATCAATTTTGAAGCAACTTTAAAAATTCATAAAAAATCAAATTTTGATCGGAAAAAGCTCAAACTTTCTATATAACATATTTACATGTATATGTATCAAAAAAAATTATAAAAATAGAGAACTCTCACCTAGTCATTTTTGGCAAAATTTGGCCAAAAACCATGTACTATAGTACAGGGACTTTGGCCCAATTTTTGAGTAACTTTAAAAAATCATAACAAATCTAAATTTGATCGAAATAAGCTCAAACTTGATATACAACATTAGAACATGTATATGTTTAAGAAAAAATTATAAAAACAAAGAATTCTCTCCTTTTCATTTTTGGCCAAATTAGGCCAAACACCCTATACTATAGTACAGTGACTTTGGCCTGATTTTTGAGCAACTTTTAAAATTTATAAAAAATCAGAATTTGATCAGAATCAGCTCAAATGTGTGCATCAGAGAAACTTATAAAAATGGAGAATTCTCTCCTAGTCATTTTTGACAATCTATTTTGTAGCAACTTCAAAAATTCATAAAAAAACAATTTTTGGAATGAGCCCAAACTTTCTACGTAACAGAAGTACACATAATTATATGCAGTAGAAAAAATCATAAAATTGCGAATTCTCCAGGTGCCATTTTTGACGAAAGTCTTTAACCAAAATTAATTTTAGAAACTCTGCAAAATGAAAATAGAATAGAATTCTACTGGTTGAGATACCTGAGCTCCAGTAAGCGTGGCCATGTCAACAACAATGTCGGCCTTAAGATCTTTACTAGCATACACCACACCATCTCCCAATACAAGCCTGCCCTCAGCATCAGTATTATTGATCTCAACTGTTTTACCTGAGAGAAAGAGAGAGGAGTAATGCAGCAGAGGGTAATACACATAATATATTAATTATTTACCAGAGTACAGTGTATGTACATCATCAGGTCGTGTCGCTAATGGTCCTATAGAGTTCTCAGCAAGGCAAAAGACAGCATGAAGATTCTCTGAAAACCCCTTTAAAAGGAACAGTGAGCATGAATACTGCTAGCACAATCAAGTAAGTTTTGCTCACAAGTTTAACGGCAGCATAGAATCCTCCTAAAATGGCTGCTGCTCCACCACAATCCCTCTTCATTCCTAGCATTGAGAGCTACAAAAACAATAGGAATCGCAACTAAAGTACATAAAGAAACAACAATATCGAAGAAACATACTATAATTATGTTACTCTACAGTCATAATTGCAAATATTTCCTTACTCTGGTTTTAAGACAAGTTCCACCAGTATCAAAGACGATCCCTTTCCCGACCCAAGCTATGGTCTTTGTTGCTCCTGGAGGACAATGACTCAAAACAGCAAGAGCAGGTGGACGTGACGCACCTTGTCCAACACCATAAATACCTAGAGATTGAAAAAGAAAAGAAAGATTAATGTAATATTCATTTCTTTTACCTCCAAATCCTTTTTCTCTTAAATTCTCTCCTCTTATCACAAATGGCGTCAAGCCTAACTTTGCTCCAACTTCTTTGATTTGCTACACATACACAAAATTTCTAAACATTAAAGCAAAACCAAAATAAAAAAATCACCTCAAGGAAGCCATCAGTGTGCATCTCGCTACATGGAGCATCAACAATGTACTGAGTCAGTCTAATACCTGCACATGATGAAATAAACAAGGAGAGAAAAAACAAAAAAGTGCAGTAGATATTTTAAACTTAAAGTACCTTCGCCAGTCTCAGATAAAGCTTGCCTCTCTTGATCAGTGAGTGGGCGTGTGTCATCACCGACAAAAATAAAACCAACTTGTACGTTAATGTTCTTGACAGAGCCAGTAGTGGACTTATTGTAACGAGGATAACATCTTGCAACAGCACAACCAAGGGAGTATGCTTCACTCCTCTCGCATGCAATCTGATATTTAAAAAACAATCATCTTAAAAGGAATATTGTTATTGGCATTCTTACGATAAAAGCATATTCTGGATGATCATGCAATTTTAATGTATTGACAGTCCTGCTCAGAGCATGGGGCCTGCCTGGAGAGTTGTGACGGCTGACTTTGAATGGGAGAGCCGAAACTATAGCATTAGAAAGCCAAAGGGAGACTGTGGTGTTCTTTTCAACAGATTCTAAAGCAGCGAACCAAGTCTGTGGTAAAAATCATCCATAAAAATCAATTTTAAAATGGCGGCTGGAGTACCTGCTGATCTACTCTTGGAGACAAATAATCCGAAATTTGCAGCCACTTTAAATCTTTCAAGCATCTCAACTTTCCAATGAAACGGACTGGCCTCTGCTGGGGATCTCCTGGTGGCACAGTCAAGCAATACTGGAGCTCAACCGCCATTATTAATGTTCAAGTTTCGGTAAGTTATTGCCGCAGTTATAAATTGCGTGGGTGTGCTTAATAAGCACTCTTGGTAATGGGTTTATCTTGTTGCTATTCTGCTCCTAATGTTTGCAGTTTGTGTGATATAATCACATATGTCATAGTGAGCATATAATAGTCTTAGTCTATGATAAATCTAGCCAGTTAGTCATGAAGAGAATCGTTTTTCTTCTGTTGAATTTTTCAGTATATTTTGTCAATTGTAATCTTAGCCTGAATCAATTTGATGAGGAACAATTGCAAGGATCTTATAGCAATGCTGCTACTAACACTGGGATTAATTTTAAAACTGGAAAGAATTTTCTAGAAATAAGTACAATGTCAGGCCGAACACTAGTATCATCGATACATGATGCTACAACACTAATGACTACCAGCATTATTGGAGGAAAAGGATTCATCAGCTATGATGGAGAGGACATTGCAGTATCAGTCAAGACTGTTGCTAAAGTGAGAGACATGACATCAATTGATGACAAGATCATTCTATTTAGTGAACTGTCACAAAGAGAACAAGGAAGATATATCTATGACTTTACTAGTGAAAAAATGAAGCGAGGTATTATTAACATAATACAAGAGAAGGACTTACTGATTAAAGCATGCTATGCATTGGGGGCAAAAGGAATTACCGGTAAAAACTACCAGCCTGCACTTATTCTGTACAAGTTTGCCTTGAAACTGGAAAGCCTGCACAGACTTAACTATACTAACATACTATTTGATTATAATGACAAGCTAACAGATGATGAGGACGACTGCTTAGAGTATTGCCCACCTTGTCCTGAGCAAGAATGCCTAGGCATGTGTGGGCCAGGCTGCACTTGTTGGGAGATGGTCTGTGGTGACTGCTGCTACCATCTCGGTTGCTATGATCATGACATTTGTTGTAGAGAAAAGTTCTTTCGCTTACGCTGTTTAATACCTTATGGGTTTGCATGTGAAGAAAATTATTATTGCTAAAATTGAAAATTTATCATTATTAATTTGATTTATTATTATTTTGTGCACGTAAAGTTTTAGTACTTTTTATTGTCCATGTCCTAGTTCTCATTATTACAAAGACGATTTAGCTGCACATTTAGTATCATCAAAAGAATTAGCTGGTAGTCCGGTCACCCCAAGGCCAGTTATAGCAAAAAGAGAACCAGAGAGTGGAAACTTCTTTATCTCTTCGTCACTTGACCCAAAAGTTCCCGAAGTGACGTACAAGGTGCTGTAATCACTCCCTCCAAAACAACAGGCAGTTGGATGGACAACTGGCATATCAATTTTTAGCAGTCTTTCACCAGTTTCTGGATCCCAGCGTGATATGTTTGATCCACAAACACCAGCAACCCACAGCTTACCCTCACTGTCCCTGCACATCCCGTCTGGATAGCCTAAAGATGAGTCGGTGCTAAAATCAATGATTTCCCTTTGATTAGAAATCGTTCCTGAGTCAGCTTCGTAGTCATATGAATATATTTTCTTTGGCATGGAATTTATATGATAAAGACATTTATCATCAATGCTCCAGTCTAGACCGTTAGATAACTCAACTTTACTTAAATGTTGCTTAATTGTAACTAAAAAAACACTGTCATTCCTACCTCTCTCTCTTACTTCTTACCTCCATCAAATGAATAAAAAGCTCCATAAGAAGGTGGAGTCTTGTTATTAAAGATATCAGAGAGAGGAGCAGGATATAGAGTTCCATACCACAGCCTTCCCTTGCTATCACATTTTCCATCGTTAAACCTATTTAATGGTCTCTCTTCTTCAACACTACACAACACTGTCACTTCACCTGATAATGAAAAATAAAAATGTTCTAAGCTAGCCTCATCACTAATTATTTTGCTTGCCTGTATCTCTGTTAACAAGGCATATATTTTTTTCCATGAGAGCAAGCACAGAGTTACCACTCTTGCAAGGTATGGCAATAGCCACTTTTTTCTCTAACTGGAGTTTTCTGTTTCTTTTTGACTCAACATCAAAGAAGTTGATGCTCTTTCCATCACAGTCAACCCAAATCACTTCATTACTTTGAGGATCGTAGTGAGGGGATTCTCCTAGCTCTGAACGAGTCTCAACAACTACTTCTATTTTAACTATAAATAAATAAATAAATAAATAAATAAATAAAAAGAAAACTGAAATTTAAGCTTACAAGACATGATGGGCTGGGCTCGTAATTGTACGCCCACGCAAAACTCAAACTCCGCCCTTTTGCTAAAAGAAAAAGATGGCCTCGGTAAGTGATGGTGTTGTTATTTTCTTAATTTTTTCCCACTTTTAGGAAGAGACTGAGAGACAAATAGAACATCTGAGGACAAGGAAAGGCGTTAAATGTGTCATTGTCATGAACTTGCAAGGTACAGACGAGGAGTATTTCCTTTTTAATCCTTTCTTTTAAGGTGAGCTAGTGACTACTTCAGTTAATGAGAAAAGCTTGGATGATGAAGCAGTTGAAGCTTACCACAGACTAGCCTATCAAATACTCAGTGGATTGAAGGCATCCATTAAGCAATACAGTGCACAGGAGAACTTACAGTACACTAGAGTGAGACTCAAGGACTCTGAAGTTGTCATTGTCCCAGGTATGTAAGAGATCTTTCTAATTGTGAAACAACTTTTCACTTCATTTTACAGAAGAGAAGTTTGTTGTAGCAGTTATTCAAGACCCCACTGCTGCCTAATAATGATGATTTATAAGATAATTAATCATAAATAAACATTTACAATTATACAAATACAACGATGCTATAGAGAGATTAAATAATAATAATAATGTAGAGAGATTAAATAATAATGATGAGATAGAACTTTTTAAAATATTGATGATAACAAGAAATTATTGTCTCTAGTGAGTATGAAAAGCAACATCTTCTCTGTTTTCGCCGTTCACTACTTTGTCTCTTCCATCGACAGTCAGTTCACATACATACTCTACTATCTCGTTAAACACATCAGGCATATCTGCATGAATATGATGCCCAGCCCCCTTCACATAATGCACATCGACGTAAGAGCCTGGTCGAGCATCAAAAACCTTCCTACCAGTTTCGTTATCGAACCACGACCGAGTCCCGTAAAGGAGAGAGATTGGTATATTGGGATTCAGAGCATCGAATCTCTCCAGCATTGGTCTACGGGCCCAGGCTATGGGTACTTGGAGATAGAAGAAACCCGTTTCACCGCTAGAAAAATAAATCACATAATTTGTCATGTGACAATGAATGAAGTTGTCTTACGTAGGCTTCTGGGCGTTACAGTGATAGACATATTTCATGAACTGGGGACCAAACTTCTCTTCAAGATCAGGACGAAACCTCGTAACAAGATAAGGACCTACATGTACATGTACAATATCACGTAATTGGTGATGATGTCATTATACCTAAAGGTCCAGCTACTCTGACTGGTGTGAACATGTTAAAGCGACCGGTGAAAGACTGTGCTATCTTGTACTTTCTACTTTGTGCAAATTCAGAATCGATCACTTCTGGCTTCCTGTTAAAGCCCCAAGGCTCAACCAGAATCAAATGCTGAACTCTAGGAAGTGAAAACAAAAAAATAATTATTGAGCTATGAGCATCAGAAAGGGAATTATATTATTATTATTGTTATTACTATTATTATTATTATTATTATTCCATACCGATTAGGATATTTCATTGCGTATGATGTGGACATGAAGGCTCCAAGGCTGTGTCCCAAGAGTATCATCTTATCAAGGCCCATGGCTGCCCTCCAATTCTCTATTGAACTCACAAACTCTTCTTCTACTCTTTCAGTGTCTGTACTAAAATCCGAGCGAGAGCTACGACCAAATCCGAGGACATCGAATGCAAAAACCCGCCTTTTCTTGGCAAGTCCTTCAAAGTTACGGAAAAAGCAACAGAGGCCTGCCCCGAACCCGTGGACCATGACAAGAGGAGGGGAGGGAGGAGGGGACTGTGTCTCTGGTGACAGGGTGATGGTTCGAATGAATGAATCTCCACCGATCGGGACATAAAGGTTATCAAAGCCTCGAGTTATGTCTAAAGGTTTTAAAATATACATAAATGAATGAATTATAATTGTACAAGAATGACTTTACTCTGTAGGACTTCTCTTTCTGCTTCTTCCAGTAATTCTCTTGAAGTTGGTTTCCACGATGGCAGCCAGCTGAAAGAGCTATGCCTTCTACAAAAAAAACACAAATATTGTATAGTCTCCTCTTTTCATTGTCTTGACACTCACTGAGCTTCTATGTCAGTCGAGAATTGACTTAGAATTCCTTCTGCTGTGTTCTCTTCTCCGCTAGCCATTCTGAATATCCTTCTTGATAATACCAATACAATATTAGACTGCTGAACTACTGCTGCTGCTCTTTTTAAAGGAGGAGTCCAGCCTGACATCAATAGGAATGACATTCACATGACCATTACAAATGATTGTTGTATACACTCAGCAGGAGGCGTGGCTAATAATAGACCACTCCCATATACATTCGCGGGGAAATTGCCGCGAAACAAAAAAATTCATAATTTTTAATTATCAAAAATCACATAAAATTTGTCATAAGTCACTATGTGTACAAACAAATAAAAATGACACAAAATTGACACAAAAAAGGTGAGAAAATAATCATGATACTAATTCTGGTACATTCGTAGCGCTAGGTTCTGTCTTATCTGGTGGTAGATCATCATTGTATTTAGTGAGTATCGTGGTATACCAACAATGCATATCAACTCCAGTGTTCTCTATTGTTTGAATAAATGAATGGGCCTTGAAGGAGAAAAAGAGAGAATATTTTTATTATCATCGTTATAATTATCTATAGTTACATTAAGGTCTTTATAACGAGGCCTGGAATCTCTACTCTTTGTCAAACTAGAAAAAAAAATAGAAATGAAAGCATTAGATAATTACTCCTCCTAAATACCATTGTGCCACAAAGTCCTTATGTTCTCCGGAGAATCGATCGCTGGTAAGTCTTGGCGGCGAACCCTTTACAATCATTTCAATTAATCCAAAAATACTTCTTAATGTATCAACAGGATATGGGAACTCCCCCATTGCTATTTCATACTACGAATACATGAAATATATAATAGTCACACAATAGTCAATTACCATTGTAATACCGAGACTCCACACATCAGATCTGTGATCATACTCGTGTTGTGGTTCATCTATGCGCTCAGGCTAATTTTTAAAAAAGTAACAGTTTGAAAGCTTTAGTGTGTGTCTGTGTGTGTGGTCTTACTGCCAAATAAGGTCGACATCCAATGTCTGTTTTAGCTAGAGAGTCTACGAGTTCTCCGGCAATACCGAAATCACAAAGTTTGATCTCACCATTTTGATTGATTAAAATATTGGAAGGTTTGACGTCTTTAAGAAAACAGAAATAGAAGAATTGTAGTAGATTTACAAGTCATTTTACCTCTGTGCATGACATTAAGTTTGTCATGGAGATAAGTCAGAGCTTTAAGAGTCTGTGAGAAAGGAGAGAGAGAGAAGACGAGAAAGAGAATAATTTTAATGTTGCAATAGATAGGGTGGTACGCACAGAAAGTGCCATTTTCCCAATTACTAGCTCTGGTATGCTCTCCTTTAACTTGTCGTAAACTAAATGATAAAGCTCTTCCAAAGATCTGTCCATTAGTTCCATGCATATCCAGACATCATTCTAATAAAAACAGTAAAATAGAATATCGATTAACATTATCTACCTCACAAAAGAAAGCTCCATAAAAGAGGATGGTATAAGGACATTCTACGCTGTTCTTTGGTACTTTCCACTCCATCAGTAAACTTTTGCTTTTTGCCTGATCAGGTGTGACACGGATCCTCTGGAGCAGAAAAAAAAGAACAATCATAAAATAAAATGAGGACCTTTCAGGTAAATTCTCAACTCTCATTCAACTCAATTCAAGAGTGTACAGATGCTATGTACAGAGACACAGGCATTACCTTTACTGCCATTACTTTCCCAGTCACCATATGTGTCATCTTATTCACTTGACCGAATTGGCCACGTCCGATCTCACTGACATCATAAAGCTCAGTCTTTGAGAGCTTCACCGACTAAAAGAGAGAGAGAGAGAGAAAGAGACCATATTTATAGAATGGACAGTAGCTGATAATTGGTTGGGGTTTCATTCTCTCCTGCCTTAAAAAGAAATGGTATCAATTGTCACTCACTTTATCATCTATTTGAATCGTAGTGGCATCAGGTAAATCACTATATGCATGGGGAAAGTGAGAGAGTGTAAAAGAAGACCTGGTAGGCAAGGCTGCTTACACTATTGGGGGAAGGGGGCTGGTCTTCTTGGCAGGTAACACTAAAGAAGGAACATTAGCTTTAAGGTGCTTAAAACGATCCTCTAAAGAAATAAAAGAAGAAAGGATGACGAGAGAGAAGAATCCTCCATTACTTACTTGCTGGCATTTCTGTTTACGTTGCCAATTCCGGGGCGTGGTTAGTTAATAAAGGCACACACGTGTTATCACGTGGATTAGTCACAAAAGTGTACAAAACTGAAAGTGCTAGGAATATATTTACTGCTAGCCTGCTAAACAGTTCAAAAAACTGTTTAGTTCATGCATAATCATTTAAAATAAATTACATTTAGGCTTTTGGAAGAGCAGAGCTTGTATTCAAATTGGGGGCGGCGGTCCACATAATATCCACCCACTCAGAGCCTTTGTTGACAGTATTTGAGGTTTCAAGGAATTTATCACACAGTAACAGATCTAGGAGGAGGAAATCTAATGGCAGCTAGTTCTAACTCTACTACTAGTCCAGCAGTAACTGGGCGCCATCACATACCTCTAAACGTTGGGAAAGTGGTAAGCTTGAACAGCCTGCACTGCAGATAGAATGTAGACTACTACACAAATACGACCTTGCTACAAATGCATTCCAAAGCGAGTGAGAGGGAGTGAGTGCTTATCAACCGTATCAGGCGCGACACTGCTATGACAACCTACCCATAGACCTGAGCCCTTGTGTTCACTTTTTTTCTCGCCAATGGCTGCTGCTGCTAGAAACTCCGTCCTGAAAGGCGTAAAACTTGAGAATGCTCTCAGTGTAAATGTAAGGACTCGATTTATTAAACTGTGCTGTATGTGATCAGAGGAATTAGGCTGGACCCTAGTGATGATGTAGTTGTTTGTGTCTACTATATAGAGTTGTGTACAGAAAAGATAAGTTTATGTACCTGAAGCCATACGATACAGTTTATGGTTACAGCCTAATAGCAGTAAGATAAGCCTGATTACAGCTACTATAAACTATGATCGTATCATATATTACTGCCTTGTTTCTACCATTACACCTACTTTTATCTCACCATCCCCCTTTTCATTCTTCATTCAGTAAACCCTTTTCCCTGTCTCTTTATTTGCAGAGCTCTATAGGAGATGTCGGAACAATCAGAACGCAATTACAGCATAGGAAAGATCAATTAAGCAAAGAAATAGGCGTCGAGCAAGAAATAACGAAAGGGACTAAAAAGCTGTCAAAAATGTATGTAATTGATATGAAGTCATACCCTGAAATGTACTCATACACAATAATTAAATATAATTCTTTGATGCATGTACTCCTCTAGTAATTACATACTCTACAGTTTGCATTAGTCAAGTATATTCACGAGAATTATTTTCAATGCTATGCCATCAACATTATACTATGCACTCCTGCCAAATATGGTGTAGCTGCTGCACGTTGTTATTTATTATAGTGCCAAATATGGGCATACGTAAGTATTTACTGTATATCGATCATTATTTATTGGCAATGATTCTGCTGTGATTTGGCTCATAATAGTACATTGGTAATTAAGGCTGGGTCAACATTGATATATCAAATTAATGTAATATGGAGTGTATTTTCCTTGTTTATATTATGTATAATTATTTGGCATTTCTTTTAAAGGAAAGTATTGAATAAGAAAACAAGAGATCAGGCTTCACTGGAGCATGATTTTTCAGTTTCAAAGATTCAGCTACTGAGATCGGAACTGGCTAAGATTAATAGTTCATTACAAGCCTATCAACCTGAGAGGTAAAAATCACCGAGCATGTTTCTATTTATTATTTATTTGTTTGTTTAGTGCCCGAAGCACACAGATTCCTTTAATTCCACTCTCACTCAAAACAACAAATAGAATAAGTTTCATCTCTCCTTTATCTGTGAGCCAATGAGATGCAACTAAAGTATATATGTATATTGTATTAATGTTCAAATTATTACAGGATGTGGTTGAAAAGCATTATTATGTTGATCCAATATTAGTACAAGATGCAATTTGTGATTTTCAAGAGCTTCGCTATGTAATGAAAATAAAGTATTTTTATTATAATTATCTCAATTACAGTCCATATCGTCAGTGCCAAAAGATGATAGTGGCATAAAGACACTCTTTGAATACTTAGGTCACTTATCTTTGCTCTCAAAGCGTTTCATCAATTCGAAAATTCAACATGGCATCTCGTTCATATGGTAAGATAAAAGAATTGATACACCATTATTCCTATATACCATCATACTAGGCATGATGCTATTAATGGTACTCCTGCGACACAGCAAAGCTATGTATTTGAAAAGGTGATGCAGTATATAAATATGCTCTTGTCTTCATGCTTATTAACACTATGATAGGCTTGTGTGATATTCAACATAGCAGCATTATACACCCAGATAGGAGCACAACAGGTCAGTAGTGTGGTATAATGGTTTACATAAGCATTTAAGGCTTGGCTTAAACTTTAACCCTTAAACTTTAAAGAGAATGAGTGAAAAACCACCTTTAATGAGAATCGGTCATGGCTTTGATATACATAGACTAGCTAGCCCTGAAGTTGCTAAGCAAGGCTGTGTCATTGGTGGTGTCAAGATTGATGGATTTTCTAAAGGAACAATAGCTCACTCGGACGGCGATGTACTCTATCACAGTCTCACTGATGCTATTTTAGGAGCTATTGGTAAACCCGATATTGGACAGTTGTTCCCTGATAATGATGAGCAATGGAAGGGCGCTAGCAGTGAAGTGTTTGTGTTGGAAGCAGTTCGGCTAATGAGAGAAGCTAAATACGAAATTGCTAATGTCGACGTAACGTTAATCCTTCAAGAACCAAGAGTATCACCTCATAAAGAAAGAATGATGGATAATTTGAGTCGAGTTTTGTCTGTGTCAAGGAATTGTGTGAACGTGAAAGCACGAACACATGAAAGACTAGACTCTATTGGACAAGGCGAAGCAATGAGCTGTCACACAGTTGTATTGCTACAGCATCAATGAGAGATAAAGAGAGAGAGACATTATAAAGAGTTCATTAAATTCCTTTAATAATTAAATATAATTAGATATAATCAAATATAATTACTCAATAGGATCGCAGCACCAAAGAAAACATACAGACGGCTATCAGCTACTTAGAAAAAGCACTTGGTAGGATCAAACAACTTCATAGCTTGCTTATATTCACTAACTCACTGCAGGAATTATTGAATACATGAAGCACAACTTCTCACACTCCCCAACTCTGGATATGACACCTCAAGTACTTTCATTTTTCAGTGATCTAATGAGGGTAAGACTCAACAAGGAGATTAAGCTTATTTTAATTGCCACTATCCTCCTCTTTAGGCACAAGCTGTTGAGCTCCAGTGGGACCTGCTTGTTCTTGAAGGATTGAAGGAGACAGATATACAATCGCTAGTAGAGTATTCACAAAGAACTAAAACAGTTAAGCCTTTATATTATTGTATAATACAGATGTGGTGTAATACTAATATTAACAGCAATAATTATATTAACTGAATTCAAAAATTGAATTTTAAAGAAATTTTGAAGTTGCTTTAAAATTAGGCTGAAAACTCTGTACTATAGGTGCAGGGTCTTTTTAGCCAAACTTTGTCAAAAATGGCATGGAGAAAATTTTTCATTTTTATAACTTTTTTCTAATGTATGCTCTAATGTTGTATATCACGTTTCAATTGATTCCAATCAAATTTGAATTTTTGTATGAATTTTAAAGTTGCTTCAAAGTCCCTAAAGGGACTTTGACCAAATTTCACCAAAAATGCATCTCATGATTCAATTATATTAATATTCCTTTTATTACAGATAGCAGAATGCTTTAGACCATTACGCGAGCTAGTAGAGGAACCTCCTTTTAAGGAATACATACCTCCAGCCTGGGCAGCAATTGTTAAAATAAAAGACGCTCACTATAAAGCAATTGCTCACTATTATGCTGCAGTTATACATGAGAAAATGTATGAGATTTGCTCAAGTAAGGAGACACAAAAAATTACTATACGAGTATAAAATTATATAATAAATATTGTAGAAGGATTAAATGATAGAGATATTGAGGCACACAGAGCATCCATTACAACTGAACTGCATTTCCTGTACACAGCAGATAGTACTAATATTGATGAACTCTTCTCTCCTGACGATAAGCATCAAATGGGACTAGGTATAATCAGTAATGTCTGTTCATGATTGATTTCTTTTATAGCTAAATCACATTTAAATTGTGCTACAGTGCTCCATGATTATGCATTAAACTTTAAAAGTCTCAGCAAAGAGCTCGAATCGATCACAATACTGAAAAAGGTAATATTCCTGATAAATCATATCATAACTTAAAAGGATAAATTGATAGTTATTGGAGGATGCAAGCACTCGAACACAACGCATGAAAGACAAAGTGTCCAATACAGAAAGCATTGCAATGATATCACCCACAATACAACGTAAGTAGCTTTATATTTACACAATACTAAAATGAATTTTTATGATTTCTGTATAGCTGCTATAATTGATCTGAATCCAGTCATTCCTTCCTTTACAAAAGTGAAAGACACTTTTGAAGCTATTGTAAGTTAAAGCTAATAATGTTTCTAGTATTTGAAGAGTTTTCTTTCAAAGGGACCTCTACAAAAGTTTTGTGCTGAATACTCTTGGAGTCCTCCGAAGAAACTGACGCTCAGTAAAAGGACAACCGGAGGATATGGATTCTCTGTACGAGGCTCTAAACCCGTTCGAATATCATCAGTCAGAGATGATGATGATGATGTAAGGAATAAAAACAAACTACATATGCATTTGTGTAGCATAATTATCACAACTAAAAAATTTTTAGTTGGAATTATAGCTCAAACTTTCTGCTGAGCATAAGGTCATTAATAAGCATTGTCAGAAATTGGAATAAAATTGTTTTTTTGGGTATTTTCAGAACCAAATTTTATCGTTTTAATTTTGATAGAGGGGTCTTGCTGTTGATGACTGGATAATAAAAGTTAATGACAAAGATGTGAGATGGCTCATGCATGCTGATGTTGTATCACTTGTACAATCCTCACCAAATGACATACTGGAAATTGAAGTCATTACTCCAACTGCATCAGCGACACCCACAGCTAAAGGAGTTGGTAAGACACCTACATCTAAAGAACCACCGACAAGCATTTAATGGAGTTTTACTGTTTGTGAACACACATTTGAGATATACACACACATATATATGCAACAAAAGTCTAGCAAATTATATAAAGTGGCAATATAATAAAGTTTTTTTGTTTTTTTTAATGAAGTTTAAATATGAAGCTAGCAGCTGGGTACGTTTAATTACCAATAGCAAAGCAGCAATAAATAATTGTTAGCCAGTAACTCCTTCAAATTTAATAACCCAAGCCCACATCAATGGTGTATCCAATGGAAGATTAGGGAAAGTAACCTGAACAACTCCATTGGAACTACTAAAATCAACTTTACCATATCCAAGCATTGTAGCAGTGGTGGTGGATGATGTCTTCACTGATCCCAACTTAAGAGTATTACCATCAGGCCATTTCAATGCAATAGCATACACAAAATTATTGGCAGTTGTGTACCTTAATGAAAGAAAAGGGAGAAAGAGAGTGAGAAATAGCTCCAAAACTTACCATACACTCCCAGTGCTACTGTCATTTTGATGAGTCCATGGTTTGCTATTGTAAATTGATTCACCATTAGTCTTGAGCCATGATCCTGACATATCAATAAGTCATTAGATGTATGAAAAATTAAAATGATAATACATACCAACTTGTGTTAGCCTCTCCTCAAAAATAGGTACAATCCTTCCATCATGAGTTGGGCCAATGTTCATCAGAGCATTTCCACCACAACTAATGACAGTTTAAATAATATCCCCCCAATGTTATCCTTACCTAACTGTTGTTACTAATTGCTCTAGTATTCCTTCAATTGAAAGAAAATTTTTATAAACTGCATCACGTCTGAAACCCCACGAGTTTCTATCGACTGTAAATGCATT